CAGCTGTAGGCATTCCAGGTCTTTCCGTGCCAGTTCAGGGCTGGGGGAATTTCCAGAGGCCTCTCAAGAGTGAACAGATGGAATTCTGGCCTTGGTTCGCTCTGGGGCCAGGCACCCTCATGAAGTCTCCCTTCCTCTTGCAGGACTTGGAGCACCATTTGGGCCTTGCCCTGAATGAGGTGCAGGCAGCCAAGAAGACATGGTTTAACCGAACACTGAGCTCCATAAAGACAGCAACTGGGGTTCAAGGGAAAGAGACGTGCTAAGAGCAGCTGCGGCCTGCAGACACCGTCAGAAAACACGACACCTTTGGTTGCCTTCTTTGGCCAGATGTGTGATTCTGTGGCATGTCCCAGGACCAGAATGAACCTAAGTCCAATTCATAGAAACATATTGGTAGGTCATTGGACCAGACCTCACGAAGCAGGCGGCCTCGGGGTGAGGCTTTCCTAACTGCTGACACTAACAGGCCTGCTCCGGTCGTGCCAGGAAACCGCTTCTGGGGTGACCTCCAGGCCTCACCCAGCCCCCCAGGCTGAGCTGACACTATCAGAGTTGGGGGTGGGGATCCTTTCAGGCTGTTGGTCTTTTCCTAAACCTTTAATTTTTTTAATAGACGTCTTATATATATATACATACACATATATATATATACATATATATATATATATTGTGGCGGGGTGGGTTAGGGCAGAGGATCAGTAACTCAAGTAATTCTTCCCTGCGTCAGTGCCAGCCAAGGGTCCTTCGGGTAGATGGTGGAGAAGCACTTTGTTTTAAATAGGAGGGTTTCACAGTTGGTTGAAACCACCTCGTCTCGTTCAACTAGACAACGCACAGGTTTTCGGTTTGGCATTATTCACGTTTCTGATCAATTCTATGCAACTCTCATGGTTCCTGTTGTTTTTTTAGTGTTAGCGGCCAAAATGACTTCTTAGGGCTGGGCTGGGTGACTGACCGTGAGACTGGATTAATTGTAACGTGGACAAGTCCTACTTTGTTCAATGTGTCATGTGTGTATGTGTGTATATATGTATATAGCACCTTTTCCCGATGCCCCAAATAACAGTGTTGAAACCCCAGACTAGGACTGGTCTGCACAGCTTACTTCTGTGGTTGTTTGGGCACTTGATCTCACTTAAGGTTTGCTGGGCTCCGCTCTCCTCCCTGCCATTGGGAGCACTGCACAGAGCTCCCTCACTCCCAGACTCCAGGCGTTTTGCACAACAGCTCGTGTGGGGGAGATGGACCCTGAGCTGTGTGTGTGTGTAAATGTGTGGGATGCACGTGTCAGCATTGCCCCGCTGGACTGTGTCCCTGCCTGCCAGGCCCTCCCTGCAGTGGGGCCAGCTGCAAACCTCGCTGTTCACATGGACTGCAAGTTCTCACTTCTAAACTATGGAATGCAGGTTTTAGCACCTTTTTTTTTTTTAAGGTTAATTTATATAATGACGTGCTGACAGGCTGTCTTGCAGATGGTTCGTTGTCTTCGTGTGGTGTGGAGGTATGGACGTGGCTGGTTACCGGAGGCACTGGTTTCTGTGTAGACATTTGGGTTGCATTTTATCTTTTCCTGTTGGCTGTACTGACACTTGCTGAAGTCATCTGTGATGACGAGGAGTTAACAAGTGGCAACCCCTACTCCGTTCGTTCACTGTCCCGACTCCTCCCACTTTCTGTGTCTTTCTTGTTTAGTTACCAGAACAGCTGTAAGCCCCTCTAAAACTAGGTGCGTGGACATCGTGTTAGGGTAGTTACAGTGTGTTAACTTTATGAATTGAAATATAAACCAGTAAAATTGTATTACTATTTCTTCTGTTGGTTTTATTTTAATAGCATATTCATTAAATATTTTGGTACAAACAGCACTGCTTTGTAAAAACCAGTTCTATCATTACGTGCTCCTGCCTCCCCACCCCCAGCAGTCAGGGGAGACCACCTTCGTTGCTGCCACAGATGGTGTGTGAGCCTTGGGCAGCTCCTGCATTCAGGCCCTTTGTACAAGGCGGAGGGGAGCCAGGTCCGTGGGATGAGAAGCCGGGCCGTTGCCTGGGAGGCTGGTGCCTGCACCTTCATCAGGAGCTCTGCAGTCATGGTCACGGGTGAGGCACTGTTTGTGTGTTTGAGGCTTAGGTTTAGGGAAATCATAAGGGTGTAATTAAGCCTTAAAAGGCAAAAGCATCTCACCAAACCAAGATGGGAGAGGGAATTCCCTTCCAAAATGTGAGTGTGCTGGTGAAATAGGAGAAGAGCAGAAAGGCAGGCAGAGTACCTGGCGTCCTCTGCTAAAACCTTCACAAGTGGTGGCACAGACAGAGCCATCGAGAAAATGCCTTTCTGTTCACTGCTGCCCCCCACACACCCCCTGCAGTGGGATGAGGCTCCCAAATCCTCTGCTATCCTCACCACTTCGTCCCCCTTCTCTGCAGCAGGAAGAAGAGCAGTGCTCCCCAACCCCACGGGGCCCACCCCACTCTGCCTGACCCGCCTGCCCTCCAGGACCCCAGCTACGCCCGGCCTTTGGATAGAAATGGGTTGAGATGCAGAAGGGAAAGTGGTGAGTGAGCCCCCCTGGAGCCGGGCAAATGCCCAGCAAGTGGCCTGGGCCATGCCAGAGGCTCCAGAGCACCGTGGGGATCTTCTTGCCATTCCCAGGCTGGTGGTCTATCTCTGGGATCACATTCCTGGCTAATCAGGGCAAGAGCCCAAGAGGACAGCCGTTTGTAGGCATTGCCACTTCCTAGATTCCCAGTGTTTAGGAATTAGGGGCACAGTAGCAATCCTCACTACTGCGGCAATGCCCGGACCTAGCAGCGGGGCCCACGTACTGGTCCGCTCAGCACACGGGCCTCCCATGGCTCAGATGGGTCCTGTTCCTAGGGAGGTCCCCTAGTTATATTGAGACCCAGGTTAAGAGTAGTTGCACCTGTACACTAAGTGCTATAGCAGGTGCACGGGATCCTGCAGCAGTGGGGTTTGTGTGTTGGCAAGGAGAGAGTTTTCTGCCCTGACAGCTGGATTCTGAAACATAAAGTGTTTCAGTGGAAGAAACAGTCTGCACTGCAGTCAGCTGAGGCAGCTCGACGGGAGGTGAGGCGGGGCCGGCAGGTAGAGGTCGGGGCCCTCTAGGCCAAGGCTCTTGCAGGGGGACCGCTGGAGAGGTTTTAGGCCAACTTCCTTTAAAAAAAAAATCTTTGTAAGTTCCCTGTCAGTCCTTCAGGAAGAAATTTAGTCTGAAAAGAGGTGGCAGATCAGGGAAGCCAGATTCAAGAAAAATTCCTGGAGAGTTGAAACTTGTGGAGAGAAAGGAGAGGAACACCAGGAAGATAAGTGAGCTTGCAGTGTGTGGATTTGAGCTCACGGGGAAATACAGGCTGGAGATGTCCAGGGCCCGCCCACTAGATGTCAGTAGCACAGCCCCCACCACCAGTTGTCACCTCCAGAATGTCTCCAGTTATTGCCAGATGATCCTGGAATGGAGCTCAGGGGCAGGAATCCCCCCAGTTCAGAACCCCTACTTTGGCACATAAGCTGGAGGGTGGGGGACACTGTGCAGGGGGTGTCCAGGATTAACCAGGTCATGAGTAGGGTCAGGAACGGCCATTCGGGGGAAGAGGACATGGAGCAGGGAGTGTGGCTGTGAACACCCAGAGAGGTGTTCTGCCGTGAGGGAAGGACTGGAAAGGCACACTGGGTTGGGTGGCCGGGAAATCGCTGGTGCTCGGGGTGGGGTGCAGGGGGGTGGCAACTGCGGTAGGAAGAACGTAAGGCGTCGTGCTGGGAAACTCGGGGATCCTGGTTTGGACCATGGCCACCTTTCTTCCTTGACTGCTCTCAGGCCTTCTGACAGGGTAAGTGAAAGCACATACATGGCAGACTGAGGAGACACCTCCCAGGCCTTGTTGAACTCGGGAGGAAGGAGGCAACTCAGAGCAAGAGACAAGCAGCACCTGCTGTAAAGGCTCCTAGGAGTGCAGCTGCCTGGAGTGCGGACTTCTGACCAGGCCCCCGCAGCAGGGAGGGGCACTCCCAGCTCCAAACTGAGCCAACAGCTCTGAAAACCAGAGGCTACACCAGGGGACTTGCTTGGTCTCTGGGAGCCCATGCTGTCATCTGATGAACATGTGAAGTAGTCACTTGCTCAGGAGATGACCTGATGCTGACAATGGAATTCAAATTAAGATTCACAGATTGGGGGTAGGGAGAGGGTCAGAGAAGAGGACGAAGTCAAATGTGGGCTCAGGGCCACACAATGGCTGAGACCCTCGTTCCCTGAACAAAGGATAGAGCACTGAGCTCTCCCCAGCTTGTAGGTGGAGAAATGGGGCCCATGGAGAAGGTCCTGGCAGCAAGGCCAGGCTGTTCACCCACGGCTCCACCTCACCAAACCTCTCCTTGTCTGTGCAGGGGGCTTGCCAAGCTCCCGTTAAGCTCTGCTTCTCTCACGTGTTCTTCTCCCCCCAGCTGTCAGACCACCCTCTGAGTCAGGATGTTGTTTACAGGTGTGAAAATAAGGGTGAAAGGCTTGCCTGTGATTTCAACTTTTTCTGCCACGTCCATCTTCATTTTCAGGGTCCAAGCATAAGGAAGTCTGGCTCCCCCTCAAGCCCACAAAGCAGGCATGAGGATGGGGTCACAGGGCCGTGGGTTCTAGCGTTGTTGTAAATCCAAATTCATGGCATGCCAAGGAGAAGGCGGACCCCGAGTTACAAAATGAAGCAAAAACACCCAGTGCTGGTGCTGCTTAGAAGCTTGACTCTGGGCACGCCCCTTTCTCTCTGAGCCTTAGTACTAAGCTCTAAGGTCTGGGTGATGCCAACCCTCAGAAACAGGTGAGAGGATGGGAGAGGGAGGTGAAAAGTACCTGGGCGGATTGAGTGCCCACAGCTTGCTGTTACAGGTTGAGGCCATGGGGACTTGCTGTGCCGTTAGCATAGAGGACCGTGAACAGGAAGTCAGCATTGGCCCCTCGTGCCTTTGCCTGAAGGGACGATCTGGTCGTGCACTTGACCCTTTTTATTCGTCAGCACCTTCATTTAATCAGAGAAGGTTCTGCTTAAGACAGAAGCTTTTATTTTTATTCATCCAAGTAGGAAAATGCAACACGTCAGGTCACCACAGACAGATGGGGCCAGTCTAGGGCAGAGTCCACCGTGGTCAGTGCGAAGGTGCTGCCTGTGGCGGTCGGGGTGGCAGAGTCCCTTTGGAGCAAGGCGAGGCACTGGTGACAGTCCACACACCGCAGGCTGCTGCTGCAACCACGCCGACAGTCCAGAGTCCGACACATCATGACCCCGAGGGGTAGACCGGTGTCTGTGGTGCTTGCGGTTTTTCCAGCGTTTTAACATGGTACACAACAAAGTTATTGCCGCCAAGGACTTTGCACTGCAAATTATACTATTTACACTTGCATATTAAAAAAAAAACACAGTAAGTAGATACTGATAAGTATTTTAAATTTCTAAAAACTACCTTGGCCACCACTAGCCCAGATCTACAGCTGACAGTCCACTGGCTGGGGCGTGCGGAGCCCTGCAGCAGGGAACTACTGTGTCTTCTCCATGCCTCCGGCACCCCAACCGCTGGGTCTGAGCGAGGCCACCTTCACTGGAAGGCAAGCCTCTTCTCGACAGCCCTGCACTAGGCTGGCTACCTCCCTCCCAAAGAGTTGTGCGTGGAGGGGGCGAGAAGCAAGTCCTACAGACCCCTCTCCAGGGATACTATGTAGCAGGGAGACCAGGATGCATACAGACTAGATAAGCCCCTTTCCCATCCCACCTTGTTCCTTAAAGTGCCCTCGCCCTTCTGAAGATGCAGCTGGAGCCCAACTAGCCACTTAAACAGACCAAAGGTTCAGCACAACAGGCTGGCAGAGGGTCCTTGGCTAAAGGCCTGAGTTCAAAGATACTTTGGGAGGAAGCAGGGGTAAACACTGCTAAGGGCTGAAATATATGAAGTCTGCCGTGGGAGGTGGCTCCAGGCTCATTAGAAGACAATGAGGGACAAAGGCAGAAGAAGGCTCCCACCTCAACCAAGCATTCACTTTGCCTCTTCCAGTTGCTGAAAGGGAAGTCTGCCAGGAGGGTGGAGACAGCAGAGCCACCCTTGATTCCTGGGAGATGCCTGCAGTCTGGCTCCCCAGCTGTATTCTTAAAAAAAAAAAAACACAAGTCTTTCTGCCCAAGGAAGTCAGTAACGAACAGGAGCTAGCCCACCTCCCCGAGAGCCATGGCAGGACCCTCGGCTGAGAAACAGTGATGGAACGAACAAGTGATGCTGCCACCTCTACAAAGTAGGGGTACACTGGAAACCCCACCTGATGGCATAGGGCTGCTGCGTGAGGTGCATTTAGGCTAAAGGACAGGACCTTCCCAACAGCAGCACTGGAGGCAGTGAGGGTGTCCTGAGGAAGGCAGAGGAGCGCCACGAGCAGACCTGGACCCGTGTCTCACCACTGACCCACCAGCCAAACTCCTCAAATTACAAGGGTGCAGCAGAATCCCCAGTTCCGAGAACAGCATTCAGCCCAAAGAGGCCAGACACTTGCAATTGAACTCTTCCAAATTGAATTCCTTGTGGAGAAGGGATGCTTTCAGGGCGTCTTTGCTATCTAAAACTCTCTTCGTGAACAGAAAGAAAAAGAATCAGGTTCTGATCAAGTCAGCTTGCTGGAACAGCAAGCGAGCTTTCTAACAATCACCTAACCCCACCACAAGCTGGAACTGAGTCAGAAGGAGGCTCAGGGCTTCCCCTACCACGGCACAGCCAGGCCTGGCCTTTGTCTTTTCTCGCCCACGAGCCCAGGAACGCCTCTAGAAACACCAGGAGTGCTGCTGCTCAGAGCTGTTCCCACCTGCTGTCAGACCTGAGCTCCCTCCACACCTTGAGAGAAGACCAGGTAGCAAAATGCAAGAGGCACATCCCCGGTAAGAATAAGCCAGACGAGCCCAGAGCAGCCAGTGCACCTCAGAGGCACAGATTCTCAGCAAAGACAAGACATAGCTTCACTCAGAGCAGTTGGCAGCCAGTTCCCTAAGTTTTCAGTGGTTACCTACCCAGACACCCTAATGCCCTCCCAACCCTCCACACCAAGGGCTGCCCCATGAGCAAGGTACACCTCTCTATACCCTTCGGTGCTCACACCTGTCTGTCTGCTCATGGCAGTGCCCAACCTTCACCTCCTGGCTTGCCCCGAGTGTCCCCAGGCCATGAGAAAGCCAATTTGCAGTACAGAGCTGGGAGAGCCCCACAGGTAGCTAGTGCAGCCACCTCCCCAACGTGGCTCCTCAGCTGCATGTGGAACTCACCTACTCCACAGCTGAGGTCCAGTGAAACTGCAGGCCCTTGTATCCAGTCTCCTCTCGTGGTCCCTGCTGACCCGTTCACGGCAGTTCGATCCACTTGCCCAGAAACCTCTCTGAGGAAGGCACAGTGCTTTGGAAGTGGGGAGCACTGCATACGTTCAGGGTTTTCCGCTGCCCCGACTACACTGAGCACTGTGTCGGTATTCCTTGGTCTCCCTGCACCCAGCTAGAGGTGTCTGCAGTGCACCTGGGCAACACCTGCTTCCAGGTGAATCCTGTGCTCCCTGCCTCAGTGGTTTGTGGGCTTCTTGGAGCTACAGACCGCCACCCCTCTAGGGGTCTGGCCCCAAGCCTGTCCACATGTGGAGAGGAAGCGCATTTGCTCCACAAAGCTCTCCTGCCACGTGACTTGATGTAAAGCCAGGGACGGGCTCCTTAGCATTTTCACCCTCACACACCAAGGACCCAAGTCAAAATTAGATTTGAGATAAATGTTGCACTTGTCTTGCCCTTTTAAATTGTTCTCTCCCGGTCCTAAAAACCAACGCCTGAAGATAGAAGATCTTGTCAAACTGCTTGTTGTAAAGCGTGGCACTCCCTGGCCCACCAATGCTGGTGGCTGGAAACACTGCAACTAACTCTGGGCCTTGAACCCTGACAGGAACCAAACCCTTGGCTGAGAAGTCCAGAATAAACGGAAAAATACCATTTGTAACCAGCAACCCAGTTTCCATGACGAGAGTGACATTTCAAAAGTGTGCTTGTGGTCCCTTTACCATCCTGAGCAAAACCTTTCGCTGGCTCACTGCTCCACGCCAAGTCCGTGCTCCTCGGCCCACCCGGGCTGCGCCTGGCCAGCGCGCCCCTTCCACTGGACGGCTCTCTCCCCGGAGCCCTGCCACCCGGGCCCTGGGCCCATTCCCTTCTTTCAAGCTGCGTCCCTGCTTGGCTGTCCTGACTCAGCCAGTCCTTTCCTCTGGACACCTGGGACTTCTGAAACCTCTTCTGCCGCCTGCCCTCCTGTCGGGCCCGCCTCTCACTCAACACCTGCAGTCCTCACAGGCAGAGCCGCGCCTCCCTCCTCCTCAGGGCACACTCTGTGCGAAGCTGGTAAGTGCTGGCAGATGGCAGGCGTTCCCGCTGGGACTGAGCCATGGCCTACAGAATGCTGCCCGGTGCCACAGGCAGGTGCGGCTGGCCCTTCACGGAAAGTTTTTCTGTGGACATGTCTAAAGCAGTGTTCCCACGTATTTCCACACTGTGACACTCAAAAAAAAAAAGACAATATTGGGTGGCCCACAGGGGTAAACAAAAAGACCACTGGTACTTAGAGACACCTGGCGAGGGGGTTCTGCTTACCCCCAAAAAGGTTGGTGGGTCCCATGTCTCATTGTACCTGGGACCTTCCATACCTCTGACCTGAAGACCCAAAACCACAGCTGCCTCTTCGGTCCTGCTCCCCAACAGAGCTACGCAAACACTGAAGTGCAGGCAACCACCCTGACTCCTCCTTGGGTCTCCCCGCGTGGTCAAGGGCAGACCCACAGGGGGCAGGACCAAGACAGACACAGACCTAAATCCCCAAGCAAATGCCCTAGTGACCACACACTTCCTATCTTCTGCCCTCCTGAAAGTGCTCTGGAAGGCAAGTCTGTACCTTACCACCGGCTGGAGACCATGTCCTACAGATGCTGGATCAAATGAGCTCTAGCCCTACTCCAGGCCAAAAAACCAAACCATCACTTTTTTAAGAAGCACAAGGCCCCTGTACGAAGGAATCCCCGGTACCTGTCATTCCCTTTGGCGAGCTCAGCAGAGGAGAAACTCAGGGAAAGGGTAAGAAACTGACTGACCAGTCTACAAAACTGTGCCTGTTGCCAAAACAAACATTTCACAAAGAGCACAAGAGCCCCCTCCCTGAGAGAGCAGGGAACCCCCCACTCGTGGCCCAAATGGAGATGGCCCTTCCAATGCTGCCATCCTGCTCTCAGTCACAGACTGAACCCTGGCTGCGGGGCAGGGTTTGAGCAGGCATCCTCAGCCCCTGGCTGGGTGCTGCCATGCCCACCTTCCTCCTCGGTGTGGGGGAGACCCTGGCCCATGCGGAAACGCCATCCTTGCCTTTTCTGCCCCGTGCAGCCCTCAGTAGTCCTCCTTTCTCCCTCACCTGGGCATGTGCAGCAGCCTCTGCCTCGCCCTTCTATTCCTTCCATATCTACCCTCCTGAATTCTCGCCCCATCTTGGAAGATGGCAGTCACTGAAGTGGCCCTACACTCCACACCTCACCCTGCTACTTAACCCTCCAGCTAGACGGCTTCCACGAACAAGGCCCTTTGCACTGCCCCTGGTGTCCGTGGCCCCTTCTTGAAACCTCACCAGTTGGAAGGCAGACCCCCGCCCAGCTCAGAGCATTTTTCCCGGGGCTTCCCCCCTCCTGGACTGAGTGTGGGACCTACCGCCGAGCTTTTCCCTGAGCCCTGAGCATCCTCTCACCCTGCCCCACCCTGTGTTCTCCATCTTGGTCAATGTTGTCACCTTCTGTTCGGTTGTCAGGGCTGAAAACCTTGCCTTTTTCTCTAACTGTTCCTTCTCCTTCAACACCCTGGTAAGTAGCAGTAGGTAGCAGCAAACGTTTCTGGATAACACTGTGGGAGAAACTCCTCTGTACCAGCCCGCCCATTGGAGAGCACCCCTCACCACCCCACTCCCAGGGTAGCCCATGGACCAGCCTGGGAGGCGCACTGCAGCTCCAACTGCCCAGCTGGCTTCCAAAGACCATCCTGACCCTTCTGGAGCCACACAAGAAACTATAACCCCTTAGAAGCAGCTGATGGTCCACATTCTCCTCAGCCTCGCTGAATCTCATTCGGAAGGGCTTTTTTGGCTTCCAGAGGTGCCGCCCCCCAAAGGGTGTGGTTCCCCCGCCCCATGGTAATGTAGCCACCACCACATGAAGGACGTAGGAGGGACGAGCAGTATCTGAGAGTATGCGGTGGAGGGGTTCTGTGAGACCCCAACATCAGAGCGCATGGGGAAAGGTGTCCCTGTGAGGGTGGCCTTTTGGCTACTGCACACACTGAACACCTAGCCGGTAACAAGGGACAGCCAACAGCTAAAACCTGGGGGCAGCTGAACTCAGCGCACTCCCCGCCGTCCCAGCCCTGGGCGCTCTCCAGCGGCATTGCCTGGCCTGCACCTCACTGCAGGGCTCAGCACAGCACAGAGACGGTCTGTGGGCACAGAGCGACTGTGAGGCTGGCACCAAACAACAAAAACCCCCGCACAGGCTGCCAGGCCCGAGGCCAACCAGCCCAGGAGCAAGCAGACAAACGGCTGGGTGACATCAGGATTCTTTTTTCCCATGAGCAGCGGTAAAGGCAGGAGGTGGGTTGGTTTTGTTTGTTTTGTTTCAAATCAAGAAACGTTAAGTAGAATTCCTCAGGGGAGAGGAAGCTCACCGAAGGTTCTGGAAGTCAGGACAGGCTGCAGTCCGGACCAGTCACACACACCACCAGTGCTGAGCACAAAACCACAATGGGTGGGCCTGGCTGCTTACTAACTGGGTAACTGGGGGCGAGCCATTTTATCTAAGCCCAGACTTCCTCATCTGTGAAAGGGAAACTTCTAGATCCCACAACTGTGGTGGAGGTCAAATCTCATCCCTGAGAAAGGGCTTCTGTTAACCCTAAAAGCAGTAGGAGAAATGTTCTTTTTTTACTTGGTTAAAAGTTGACTAATTAGGAATCACTAAATTTGCCACAAACAAGCTGGGTGGCCGGGACGTCTACAGGCCTCCATTCCTTGTCCGCACAGTGGGAACAGTCTGCGCACTGCCCCTCCTCCAGGTCACAGGGGTGACCAGCAGAGGGCTCAGCTAGAAAGTCCCCTACAGTGATGCCACACACGCACTCTCCCTCTCACACAGTCATTGCTCTAGGCCTCGTACAACCTGGTTTTAAAAGAGGGAAGGACTGGATGTAAGAAGATGAAGGAATAAGAGAAAATACATGTATAACTCAGGGACACAGACAACAGTGTGGTGATGGCCAGAGGGATGGGGCGCTGGGGGCTGGAAGGAGAGGGGCAAAGGGTTGGGGGTGGGGGAATGGGAACATTTCAACAGTGTCAACAGTAAACATAAAGAAAAAGAAGTTCCTTTCTCTTGTTCCCCTCCATGATTACGGCAGGTGATTCAAAAGAAAAGCCAGCTGCCTAGGATGATAATGACTTGGGGTGAGGGAGGGTATCTTTCCCTAAACAGGGTTCTGCCTCCATTCCCACGCCCGCTGAGCCCCAGTGGAGACCTCACTGGGGCGCAGTGGGGGAGTTGGTGGGGTGGTCTGCAGCAGGTGAGCAGACCAATTCCCAGAGCCACCCACAGTCATTCGGAGACCTCAGGCCACCGTCCAGGCGGGGCTCCTCAGGCACCGCCAACCCAGAGGCCAGTCCAGGAAAACTGCTGTCATCAGAACAGGTCACTGCAGTCTGCCCTTAGCACTTGCTCCCTGTACTTCCACCCAAACCTGGGCAGCTGCCCCTCTGTGCCCCTCCTCCTCCTCCCCCCCAGTGAGACGGCTTCACCAGCCTTCCTCCAGCTTTCTTCTCTGAGAGTATACTCAGAGACTAGCTAAATAAGAACTTACCTCAATTTCTCATTGATATTCAAACAAAAAACAAGCTTCAAATATAAAAGCTTTCTCAGTTTATACAGCTACACCTTAGCCTTCGAGTCTGTCTTGCTAGTTTGTTACATAAGCTTTCTCAGTTGGTCTGAAAGAAAACCACTCTATTTTATACAAGGGCATCTGGTGTAAAATACAGAGCCTAGGGTCCAGCCCAGGAGTCTAGGACAGCTTCTAAGCCTGTGAGCTCAAAAGATCCTGTAAGGCCCCTTACAGCTGCACTGGGCCCTGCCCACCACTGCCCGACACCTCCTTCCTCTCTCCCACCCCACCCCCACTTCCATCCCCAGACTTTTAATCCACAGCATGGCTACTGGGAAGGGGCTTTGGCACTGAACAGAGCTGGGCTTCGTTCTTGACTCCAGCATTCAGTTCTGAGCCTCATTTTTTTCATCTGTCCAATAGGGATACCACCACCTCCAGAGGCTGTTTGCGAAGACTGTCCAAGTGCCTGGCACACACAATAGACCATTTTTAGCATCTTTCTTTCCTCTCCTTCCTTTCTTCCATTCCTACTTCTTCAGTCTACTGCTGCCCATAGCCCAAAATGACCTAAACTGAAGGCTACTGTTGACTTAATTACCTGGGACAATTAGCTGACCTTAGAATGCAGAGACCAGTCGTGCAAATTGTATAAAAGAAGAGAAACTGAGCTCCTAGGTGGTGCTAAGAGCTGTCTTCGCAGCAGCCAGCAGAATCCCGTTCCTTCCTGCAGTCCATGAGCGGCAAAGAACATGACTCAGGATCATACATCTCCAGCTAGGACATGCTAGTCAGACATGCTAAACTGCACGGGCAGACATGACGGCAGTCTCCACTCTGCCCACCAGCAGAGCTAGCACAGTGTAGAAATGGCAAAGTTCTTCCAAGAAAGTCCAAGACCCTCCTTAAAAGGATCAACTAATTAAAGTATTAACAACTGATTGGTCGAGGGGAAAAAAGAGGCCCGCATTCTACGCTAGCTCCACGAGGCAACAAATCTACCAAACCGCCACAGCAAAGACAGGAGTAACTTCTATCAGTTCATCAGTTTATACAAATATCTCAGGCTTAAGAATATCTTGAACAGAATGCAAACCTATCTTATTTCCTTTTAAAGGTACCACTCAGTCCCTGTGTAGTTTTTATAACCTGAGAGCATCACAGCACTCGATCTGTACTCCCAGTTTCACGCAACTAGCAGCAGGCAGGGACGCATCTCCTCACCTTCCCTTACTGGCTCCCAGAGTCCACAGACAGCATGTGCTGGCCAGAAATGGACAGAAAGAGGTCTGTCCTTCACTCGACAGTATCACCACCTACCCACTTCTTATGCTGAAAAGCAACTTACCAACTGTGTCTAGACAGCGAAGTGGGTAGATGGACAGACAGACCTATAGGTTGGCAGATGGGTTTTTTCCCTAAAATTAACAGACAGGCCCCAGCCTGGAAGCTCAGGTTGGTTAGAGTGGCATCCTCATACACCAAGGTTGTGGGTTCAATCCCTGGTCAGGGAACATAAAAGCATCAATCAACAAATCAATAAATGGAATGACAGATCGATGTTTCTCTCTCTCCTTCCCTTTCTCTAAAATAAGTAAAAATGTTTTAAAAACTTAACAGAAGGGAGGCTTTTCATAGTGATGAGTGTAGATTTTCCCCTCAAAGTGCTGAAGCAAACTGGGGAGAGAAGCTGCAGGAATGCTGTTCAGAGAAGCACCCAAATCAAAAGCCTTCTGAGTGAGCCACTCGAACTCTTTTTTGTCTATGGTTTCTAGTAACTTGCTTTCTACCTGCCAAACCCTGGTGAGCTCAGAATGTTGGACTCTGGGGCTAGCTGTAATCAAACGCACTTTTTTCCTCATTGAAGCACTGGTAGAAAACTTGGAATCAACAAATTGATCATTTAATAAACTCAGCCGTTTTAAGCACGCCTGAATCCTGAAGCAGGTAGGCACTTGTGAAGCCCTGGCAGCAGGCTGGCCAATGGTCTCACCACCACAGCGGAAAAGGGAGCATTTTCATTTAGTGTGGTCCACAGTGACCTCCTCCCACCAGCTCTCATCAAACGTTCACTTTGTGTCTCCTGCCTAAGCTCCAGATGGTGAAGACAGGCCTCTGTCCAAGACTGGGTGCACCCCCACCTGTTAGCACTGAGGAACGAACGCAGCTGCCCCCAGCAGGCCACGCACCTATTTCTAAGCTACCAAGCCAACTGCCAGCACAGCCGTGCCTCCCTCCCATACTGCCACCTCAGCCACCTCAGCCAAGGGAAGGACAGTCGAAGGTTCCTGGGTACTTACAATGTGCCAGGTACTATTCAAAGCATTTTAGTGAATTAACTCACCTAATTCCCAAGCCCCAAGGGAATTTGCTGGAGGGAAGAAGTTCTTTGGTCCAGATTCCCACATGGTTTCTATTCCATATTTCTAGCTGTGCTGTAAAGCTTACATAACCTAATTTGCATTGGGGTGCTATTTTAAAAATCTCCAAAGTTCACTGCTTTAAGCATCAATGGAAGCTGTTAGCTCTTACCTAAAATGATAATGTGAGAAAGAATATCTATTCTTAAAACTAACAACTCAAATTCTTGACTTAAAACTCTTTATGGAAGTTGCTATTGGAAAGGAAGGGACTCATTGCTCTAAGAAGCTTAGCTCCCAGCTCCGACCTGACTGCCCAAGACACACAACATCGACAGTGAAACTCACCTCCGCAGAAGGCAGTTCCTTGGCTCTGTGCTTGTTACTCGTTTACCACCCATCTCCCTGCCAGGCCTCCTGGGTAACACTGAACAATCGATGGTCACTGGGTGGTGTGGCATCAGTATGAGTCTGATTAAAACAGAACCTTTCTTGTTCTGACCACCACAGAGAACCCTGCTCCGGGCCAGCACAGAGGCCAGGCCTGAGCTCAACGGCAGTCAGAGGAAGACCACTCACAGAGCAGGCTGTTTTCAGCTTTAAATGCTCCCAATGGCCCTGGTGTTTAGGGCTCCGGATCGCTAGTACTCTAACTTCAGGGGATGCAGTGCCGGGATCTCCTCCTCAGTTCATCCCCCCAACTTACTACTGAGAATTTACCTCCACTGCAATTATTAATGAGACCCAGAAAACATATAATGAATGACATATTAGAAGGGTAACCCCCTCCCCATTTGTCATTAAAAAATATGATGAGTATTTGAATTAACCAGTTTGGTTTTTTCTGTCTTATAAAAACTGTTTCGAAAGGACTGGGGTATCTGTTGCTCATTTCATTCAATTCACTTATACTTGGACAGAAGTCAATGAACATAAACCAGAGTTGGTTTTGAGCTGTCAAAACCATCAGGGAAATATTTAAAATGAGTGAATTTCCAAATGAGGCCCATTTCAGTGATGTCGGAGGGCCCATATTATTAAGGTACAAATAAACTATTAAATAAATAATACATTTTTGACACTGCTAACGCATCAGTTGCCCAATCCCACCAACAAGGAAACTCTCAGAGTTGAAGTGCTCCTACCGGGCAGGCCTCCGCTGGGCCAATACTCAGAGAAGGACCCAGCACGTGACGGGCACTGGGCTGTTGCATCAGCACTGGGATGCACTTGGCACTAGTCATCAAGACCTCACACCGCCTTTATAGATGCGAAAGTTACATTCAACATAAAGATTCTGTATGGGAAAGAATGTTGTTCCAGCAACCTTCAAGTTAGTCATAAAAAGAAAACTGCTACTTAGAGACAAATAGAAAACATATATTCATTTTAATCTCTCTATATAAAATACAGCCTTAGCACAGAACATCTGACACATATGAAATGCATTTATGGGATGCACTAAACGAAGCAAATCCTTATTAAAATATTTGGCCTAAACCTCTCATCTTTTAAATAAACTCCATGGTAGTTGCAAAGGTGGGAAATAAACATCTAGCTACCTAACCTAAAAAAAGATAAGTCTATTTGGTCTCTGCAAACTAGGTATTAACCATTCTGAGTCTTGCCAAAGTTGGTTCTGCACATAGTTAGCTTACCTCAATCAATCATTTTCCCACAGTTACCTTAACGTTTTGGTTTTTTCATTTCTATTGCTTTTTTTTTATGGCTTCTTGCTGCTGTTGTATTAGGGCGTACAACACAGATCAGAGATTTTCATTTCTCAGAGAAGTCTCTCTCTTTGAGAAATTGGCACTTCAATCCTCAGCTTTATACCTGCATACAAGTGGATCCTACCAGCATTCTTACCGATCTTGCTGCTTATGAAATCCCAGCACTTTGGCCGAAAGAGTGCCCTGACATTAAAATCTTCTGAGGTGAGTGAGCTCTTTCCACCCCTGAATTCTTTTATTTAAACAGGTGTGTGTGTGTGTGTGTGTAATCAGGTATATATCATATATGTTCTACACACACACACACACACTCAGCTCTGTACAAGTGAAGTGTCTCTTACATAGAAAGTAATCACAAGGGCATTAAATGCTGAAAATAGTTATTTGACATTTAGATCATACAAATGCTAAAGGTGATGTGATGGCGTAACACCTAAGAGGTCAAGTACATCATTACATGATTGTCATATGTGCATGCATGCTGTGTTCATTGGTTTCAATCACTTTTCTCTTTAATCAGAAAGTAAAAGAGCTTACCTTTGTATACTGAGAGCACAGCTTACAGTCACTATATCTCAGCCTATTTTATACAAGTGATATGGCTACGAAGGTCCGAGGAGAACGAGAATAAAGTGAGATAAACGTGCTGAAAACTGCTTAAAAGTATTAACCTGAAATACACAGAGGGTCCAACACCAGTTTTAAAAATACATTAACGAGGTATCCCCAGCTCTTCAATTAATAATGGTGACTGAATGATTCATGATTTCCAAACATTCACCCAGTTTTTTAAAAAAGACAAGGTTAACACCAGCACAACCCGGCAATGTCTGGTCCCCAGTTAGCAACCGGAGAGGAGGGCTACGGATGCCCTCGGGACCCTCACTGCCCTCACCACGCGCTGCGTCGAGTCAGCATGAGGTGTGCAGGGAAGGTACTCGACCACCCACCTCGCACGAGAGACGGGGTGCTCCTGGCGCCTGAAGGAACACAGGCCGCAGGCCACATCCCTGGCTGGGCGCCAGCCCCATGCAAAGACTATGGCTTCAAGGAGGACCCTACCTCTGAGAAATTATAATAGTGCTAACTGACACAGTCAGGAATGCAACTATCCAATTTACGTACTAAAAAAGTTTAAAAACGGTCAGAAGATAAAGCACAGCTCACACACTGACTCTGAGTTCTGCACTGGTCTGTAATGTCCCTGACAAGAGACTGCACTGGGAGAGGTTAAGTACAGATATTGCTACGTTTCCAAAGGAAAAGTTTTAAAACAGACACCGTGGCTTTGAGTCAAGTATTGCTCTTCTTTAAAATGTTCAGTCACTGCTTTCCAGAAGGAGGTGTCAGAGTGCTGGCTCTCAAAGCTGGAAAGCCTCAGGGGTCACACTGCTCTTAAGACCAAGACACAGAAATTGCCATTTCAAGCCAGACAACCTGATGGTTCTAGAAGTCAGAGAAGAAATCTTGAGGGCCCAAGTGAATAATAAATGGTGCGACGCTCAGAGGCTGGCAATAGGGGCTGTCAATGAAAAAACCGCCTACAGTGGAGAAAAGAGCAGAGAAGCAAAACTTGATGTTAATTTCACAGAATTTGGTGAAGCCAAGAGCTTCATTTATATTTCTCTGCTCTTTCAGCTGTAAGTGGAATTTTCATTACAAAATGGAGGGGTGGGAAGGGCACAAGGAGGGGGAACACTTAACTCATTACAAAATGTGAACAGTTGAACTTGCAGTGGTTACCACTTCTAACAAAGGACTGACAGCTCAATTATTTTAAGTAAAGCAGAGAAATGTAAAAGTTTGCAGCAACTGGGCAGGTTTACAACATGGTTAGTAACTTCCAACAAACAACAAAATTAAAAAAAAAGGACTCAGTAGAACCATTTGAAATGACTGCCATCATGTTGGAAAACAGCACAGCCCCTCTCACCGCTGCACAGGGGTGAGCTACGAAGCTGAGTCGGCTACTTCCAAATAATTTTCTAAAGAGAAATCTCCAGAGAGATTCCAACTTGGAATGCAAATTTGACCATCAATTTCAAATGACAATACAGCTACAGCTGCCAATTAATTGTATTCCAAAAACAAAGAGGACTATTGTAAATATTTAATTAATAAAAACTGGACACTACCAGCCATGCTTTTTCTTCTCAGTGATGGCTCTGTTTCATCCATAGGTCAGCAAAATGAATCAATGAAACATATGGAAACTCCCAGCCGAAATGGGCCCTCCTGTTCATGTCTAGTTACTAATGCACAGGATGCGAATGATAAGGTCACAGCTATTTCTAGCAAGTGATGAGGTTTTATTAAAGTATCACCCACCACTAATAAAGACAAAAGGTCAGAGAGCAGAAGTAATGAACCACTGTGTAATAAATATACATCTGAAAAAGGACCCTATATTTGTTCTAAATTGCCCATTTCGTTCTCATTAATGGTCCCAAAGAAATCTGGCACATAAATTTTCCACATTTTGTGAAGCCCATTTTCACTGATGGGCAGTGTTGTGCTCCAAAATACAGAATTTAAGAGGAAAGCTAATTCTTACTAAAAACAGACACTTTAAAGACAAAGTAATTCATAAATATCATAAACATCAGGACCACACTGTTGCCTTCATGGGGGTGAGTACCTTAATGAAACCATTACCTTCTAGTGACATCATAGGCTTTCCAAACAAGGTGAGAATGCAAGTGGAAGACTTAGGTCTGCACCCTTTACAGAACAGCACAATGGTACCAACTCATCATTTGTCACCAGCTTACCCAGGTGTCTTAAAAATAAATGCTGACCCATGGCTGAAACCTGTCACTTTTCACAGCAGCACTCAACAAGAACTGGGACAATTGAAGAGCAAGTTTTTATGGGGACCCTGTTGCTGCTTTAGATTCTGATGTAATTGAAGAGGAAAAGAAGACCCTTCAATGAATCCCAGAAAAACTGCTAATCTTCTAACTGCATGAAAAAAGCCAGGGAGTGAACACAGTATCTTACAGAGTGAAGAAGGCCACAAGAACAAGAGGGTGATTGATTGGTTAATTTATTTTTTTTAAAACTTGAGAGTTCGGAAACTAAAATAATCACACTCCTCCTTTCCATCTCTGGGTGGTGCCTCACTTGGACGAGCAATGCTCTCGGAGAACGTGACCCCCTGGCTTGAGGGGAAGCCCTTGCACAGCAGGAGCACGAAGGGCTCACGAAGGAAGGAGACTGGCTCAGACTCACAACCGCCTTGGCTTTGTTGCAGCAGTTTTCTTACAAGGGAATGGGTTTCTAGGGCTAAGTTACTGGTTTTCAATTCCTTGTAATTTTATACCAAAACATATCAAAAATAAAAAGCTAAAACAATATTCAAACCCATATTTTATTGGCTTTAATTACACACTTCAATATTTACAAAGTTAAAGTTAAATGAAAAGTCTCTATTGTATTAAAAAAAATAACTACAGCCCGAATTAAAGTGCCCTGGGGCGAATGCATGTCCATCAGCTAGGAACCAGTGACTGCGTCAGGAACCAGGCAGCACTCTGTGTCACAGCAAAGCAGTTTATTTGTGATCAGTGTTTGAGACTCTGTACATCCTTCACAAATTTAATTTGACATAATCTGACACTCCTCGTAAACTCTGAACTGCTAGACTTACTTCCCTACAACAGAAGGGCTGGTATAAGTTATTTTCCAGAAATGAGGTACCGTTTCACAGAACTAGTTTCTTTTTTTTGTTTTCAAGTTTTAGAGAACTAAATTTGCATTTGTTAAAATCAAAAAGTAGGAAAGATGTTCTTTACAAATAATTTTGATCAAGTATGTGTTCAAAGAAAGCAGGATAAAAAGGCTTTTTCTCTAACATTCTGTATTGTACTGTACTGCTGTTCAATAGGAATTAGCTTCTGTCATTTGCTAAAAGAATGAGTAGTGGGGAACAGGATATGTTGGGAATTTCATAACGGGTAACAGAACCATTCTCTTGGGTAAACCTACAGAGAAAAGAAACGGAGAGGACTCCAAATAAGTTTGATAATCCAATAAAAATTTCAGGTAAAAAAACCTTATAATAATTACCATTAACCTTTTCCAGATTAGTCAGTCAACATGCAGCACTTTGGAAGAGGCTCACAAACCTCTCACAGACCTCCAATTTTGAAACGGCTCATAATATTTTGATAGTATCTTCCATTCCAAATCAAGGTGCTGCATCACAGGAAGGATGATGCTCAGAAAACAATTGTGTGTGAGCGAGCTGCCATGAACTCTAAGTATCAACAGCAATGCTATTGATTGATATTCTAAAGTGACTCTACAAACCCACACTGGCTCTCCATTTGGTAAATCACATTCTACAGGAGAAATAGGGGTTGTAAAATTCAAAGCACATCGTTCTGTGCCAGCCTGAGCTTCCCCAGAAAGACAGTTCCCAGCGGAGCTGTGACCAGGTGCTTATCTGGTTAATGGCTATTGCCAATATTGGCGTGGCAAATCTGGAAAGATTAATAATCACTTTCTTAATTTTGTAATTAATGAGTTCTTGTGGCCTCACAAACTCCTGCATACTCAAGCATGATTTGAAATCTGCTCCTGTTCCTACTCTAATCTCTGACCTACAGAGAAATCACAAAGCAGCAACAGCAGGTAGTCAGCGCACCGGATGATCAGAGGGAAACCGCCCCGCATGCAACAGCTTTACAAAGGCCAAAGACGTATCTACCTTACAGCCAAAATAAAGCGTCGTTTTAGTAGGTAGGCATCACAGTAACATTTAAAAACCAAATCTTTTATGTGAAAAATGGGGGCATCAAATGTCACCAGCTTTGGAAGTCAGTATATGGCACATGGGAGACAGAAGCCTTCTGCAGTGGGGGCTCAGAGGCCGCAGGGTGGAAAGTACGATGTTAGAGAAAAGGGAGGAACAAGAGAGAAAAATTAAAAAGACTGAGGGAAAACATAAATGTAGCTTAGAACCTAGATATGAAAGTGTTTTAAAGGGAAAAAGAAAGCTCTAGCAAACCTGCACTAAAGAACGTGAGACTTACTATGTCTGAAAGAAAGACACAGACTTAAGAACCTGCCCTGGGCGGCAGAAGCTCGGGTGCTCACACAGACGTGTTACAAGGAGTTGAGAGTCAATGTGTTTGGATAAACTGAACAGACCTAGTTCACAGGAACGATGCGGCAGTCAGGATATCCAGAAGCCGGCTGAATGGTAAAGGCAAATGGCCAAATCTAAAGGAGCTAGACAGTTTGAATTTAGAGGCAATTCTGGGTGAAAGCATACTCTTGAATGAACCCCCACTTCCTAATCACCTATATCTGAGAACAAGGGGAATCAGGAGGAGCCCTGACCCAACCAGGGTGTGCCAGAGGGGACAGTCAGGTAAAGGATGCAACTCCAGACTCGGTCTGCACTTTGCCTTAGAGAAAACTCACCCCAAATATTTGACCCTTACAGCTTCTCCACATCTTTCCGGGACATAAAAGGTCTATCTTAATGGGAAAAGTGGTCAAACTGTTCACATCCTACTAATTAATTTAGAGTCATGAAGCCAGGTGAAGTTTCAACTTGGCAGTGTCTAAGGACCCATAATTTCCATCCAAACAAAATGGGAAGCTGATACATGGAGACAGAGCACAATGAAAGGCCTTGAGGCTCCTGGGAAGGACTAGCCTCCTGGGGGCCGTACACTCAGGGTCTTCCCCGTCTGTGTACATGCGTGCCCAGCCCGGGGTTGCCCTGAGGCACACACACATACACACACACACGCTCTTCACATGCACACCCAGGTTCTCCTTTCTTCTCTCAGTGACAGACATCCTGCAGATGGCTGATTCTAGAATATGTAGCACCTAAGTTAGGAAAAAGGTCTGAGAGCATATCACTGACTCCAAACCTATTGCCTCCATTGCCACATAAACCTCATTCAAAAGTTATCCAAAGGGCCACTGAGGTTCATTTCTGCATTTGCTTTTATGTTTTGTTTTTGGAGGGAGAAGAGACACTTGCATGCTTTTACAGCATGTACTGCCAACTTTCTGCAGTGAGCACTTGTGTGACACTGCTGGTGACACCCCTTACCAACTCCCTTGGCCCATTTACTCCACTTCTAAAGCAAAATTTCTGGAAAGGGATGATGGCTACAAATTTGCAGTGAACATTTTCTATCCCTAACTTAGATCACCCACAGTTCACACAGTTTCCAACCAGAAACTTAAATGTAGCCTCATAACTGGCAGGCAGCCAAGCCAGAAACTGTGTATGGCCCTTCAGTAGCCTTTGAATGGAGTGTAAGTTGGCTGTAAGAAGAACTACTTAAAATACTTAATTTCAGTATGGTCAGAAACAGGCAATTAGAACAAGCAGTCCTTCAATCAGGCAAAGCGGAGAGAAGAGCAACTCCAACCAAACCAAGAACCACAAGGTTGTGGCATTTTCAAAGGGAATTTAAGTTGGGTCACTAGAATGAACAGGTCTGAGATCCTCCAATTCATTTAAAGAAACCTAGATACAAACTGTGCCTGCGATTGCTGTGACAGAGTCGCTAATAGGAGAAACCAGTAAGAGGGTGTACATACCATAGGCTGGGGCAGCTGTGCTGTAACCATATGGTGTTCCATAGCCTGGTGCAGAAAAGAAGAGAGCATGTCAGTCGACGACAACGAGGGGCTGGCGCTGGCCCAATTTACAAGTAACACCAGGCCTGGTACCATGGGCCCAAGGACCTCCTTCCAGATGTTGGAATGAGAACCATGCCCAGAATGGCTCTAACCTACTGATCCCTTCAGGCCTGCTGGAGTGAAGCCTTCTGCATGGCCTCCAAGATGCCCCTGACCTACCAGAACATCCTGTCTCCACTTTGCCAGGCTCACCTCACTGTACTCTAATTATCCACTCCCTGTCTGTGTCTCCCATTCCCACTAGAGTAGCAGAGACACTTGCATCACCTGAATTCAGCAGAATGTCTGGCATAGAGTAATCACTGGCTGAAAATAATTTGTTGAGCAAAGGAATACTCAGAATGATGCAAATGACCCACTTCTCAAAGGCAGAAACCAGAACTTTTCAAATCTCTTTTCAGAAAGTAGTGATAGAACAGGCTGAAGTCCCAACTGCCACTGAAGAAGGCACATGGATCAGGCTGTGGGCTCGGGGGCAAGTCCATGTCTCGCTGACATCTGAACCCCTGGCCTCAGTGTGGGGTCTCTCAGTAAATACTGGTGAAACTGACATTAGTATCTGGTGCCTATGATGAAAAAGGCTCATATTGTAAATAAAAACAAGCACAAAGAACACAGAAGGTTTTGAACCAGTTAGTTCTGGCACAAGTTTCTTATACATTCTTAGGCATATATAATTTATGAGTTACCATTTTCTCATCTGTACAACCGGAAGCTTTCCTAGCTACTTTGTAGTGTCATAGAGATTAGAAATACTTTATTAATAGAAGCTATCGGGTTGGCCAAATAGTCCCTTGTGCTTTTTTGGGACCAATGGCTCTAGTTGCGCTTAGCTGTCTTTAACTTCATTTGAAACAATTTTGTTACATTGTATTGTGACAGCTGTCGTATCAGCGTGCATTTCTTAAACATCAAAATTGGTGAATTTTTGTGCAGCCATTTTAATATTGCAGATGAAAGAAAATATGGAACATCTTTGGCATGTTATGCTTTACTATTTCAAGAAAGATAAAAATGCAACACACAAAACATTTGTGCAGTGTATGGAGAAGGTGCTGTGACTGATCGACCATATCAGAAGTGGTTTGCGAAATTTCTTGGTACAATTGACATTTTGGCCAAATAGTTCTGTGCTGTGGGCTGTCTCATGCATTGGAAGATGTTTAGCAGCACCCCTGGCCTCTACCACTAGAAGTCAATAGCAGGTGATAGACGACATACTCAAAATATCCAAAGCAATAAAGTTATTGGTGAAAATGAAAAATTTTTTTTTTAGTTAACGTAACAGACTTCTTGGCCAACCCAAAACAATATTTAAAAATTGTTCAGTAAAACAAGTTAAAAAATATAAATACTGTATCACCTGGGTAAATTTCTAGGAAAAAATTGATTTCTAAAATAGAACAAGGACATGAAATCTACCTGGGCCCCTTCAGGTTGTACCCACATCAAAACAAACTTTTTTACGTTGCAACCCTTTTGTCTGCATCATTTCTCCTGCACTGATTTTTTTTTCCTCCTCCTCTCACTGACCGACTGCAACTCATCATTTCTTTCAGTACTAAATGCACCTCCCCTGTGAAGTCTCCCGAGCTTGCTGGTTCTTCCTCTGCCCACTCACGCTGCAGCTCTCATCACACTGCATGCTGTTTACACAACTGTCCCTTCCAGCCCCATCCAACCCCAGGCATTCCCCAGGCGGATGCTGGATCTTGGTGGCCTATGAATGTCCAGTTCCAAAGTTCTTGTTAGAGACAAAACACTCAAATGACTGGTTAACAAGTAAACTGCTTTTGGGGACCAACTGAAACATTTCCTGAGAGATGAAATTTTTGTCACTTTTTAGTCTATACTTAAAGTCATATAAAACTGGGGGGTAATACCACTTAGTCTCTCTCGATCTTACTCGTAGTCTTTGATTCTCAGGAACATGTCTCAAGAAGACACAATGCAGCTGAAACAGGCAGCAGGAACAGTATCAGAGGCCAGAAGAGAAATCAACATTTAAAAAGTAAGTCGTGCATCAATCCAGAAGAAGGTAACTGGCTGGCTAAAGGCTTTTACCAAAACCTCCTTAGAGATAAAACTCAATTACTTAGCAGCCACAGAGCAGGCCACTGGGGCTCGAATCCTGGCTTCCCTTCTCAGTAGCAAGGTGACTCTGAATTGTACCTGTTACTTAACCTTTCTGAAACTCACCATCTTCTGCAGTAATTGAGTTGGCAGGAAAATGTAATAATATATGTAAAAAAAATTAACCACAGTCTCTGCCACACAGAACGGACTGCACAAATGGCATATAACCTATTCATGATCTAAAACGGCCCCACTGGCATCTTCTCTAGGCCACAAAAGAATTTCGTGTGCAAAGGCTTCCGGAGGCAGGCCCTTCACAGAGGCCAGTGTGCAAAAGCCGCAGGAGAGAAGCTATCACAGGGCAGACAAGCCCGGCGGCAAGCAGACCCAGGGTCCCTTCCACAACTACTGCCCCTAGACGATGGCTGCTCCCCACTCAAGCAGGACATAAACGTTCCAAGACAAAGCCACCACAGACATGACTGGATGAAGCCCACACAATCAGAGGCAAGAAAGCCCATCTCAGTAACTTGCCTGTTATTAAATGAAAGCTGCTTCCTTTAAATAATGCATTAAATAAGGCAAAACAATATTACAATTCATTAAAAATAGTGAGTTGCACAGAAGAATGTCTTAATTTTGGACACGAACTGTATCAAACTATCTTTCCCCACCCATAACAATCATCTCTCGCTGTTCTTTGTCCCCTAAAATGGCACGATCCTCCAATCAAATTCCTCTAGCTAAAAATCCTGGGAGATGCCCTTGAAACTTCACTCTTTTTCATGTTCCACATTAAACCCATCAGTTTTGCTTCCAAAGCATCCTCCAATCTACTCACCTCCTGCCACCCATCTACTTCCTTTTATCTACTGGAGACACCTCCACTGTTTCTTGCCTAGGCTACTAGTTTACAAAACCTTTAACTTGTTTTGTCATGCCTACTTTCATTCCTGCAATCTGTTCTTCACATTATAGAGTGAGCTTGAAAAATAAAGTCTGATCTTGTCACTTCTCTCATTAAAATCCTTCACAATAACCAAAGAACTTAGGATTCTAAGACCAAAATCTAAACCACGGCCTCTAGGACTGGGACTGAGCATCTAAGAGCTTTAACTCAAATCATTCCCCCTCCCACCCACCCCACCCCAATGATTTCCACATTACATTCTGACCTTCTAAACATTCCGATGAGCCAAGGTCCCTACCACCAGCACCACAGGTCTCTACACATGCTCCTCCCTCTGTGTTCAACTGTCTTCCACCCCAGACTCTTCCCCGAGTTAACTCCGACTCACTCTTCAAAGCTCAGTGCAAGCATTACTTCTTCAGGGAAACCTTTAGGGACCCGACAGACTGAATCGGGTCTATAATGGTGATTATTGGGTTAGTATTTCTCACCTTTAGAACAAAATCCATGTCTGGTATATGCCAAAGTAGGCACCCACTTGTTTATCTGAATAAACAAGTCTATTGTTTATAGGAGCTATGCCCCTACTGGATGAAGTTCTAGAAGTGTAATTACAAAATCACATTATCCAAAGAACTCCCCAAATAGTCTATTCAGTTCTTCCTTTGGAAAACAAAGAAAAAGAAAGCACAATCTATGTAAACTTTTTAAGAGTGTTACCTAAAAAAGTAACGCCACTTTCACCTCCATCGACGACTACGAGCAGTGTGCTGGCCACGTCAGAGTTGTGTGCTTTCAGCACCGCAGGGACTGGACGGCAGTGACAGCGCTGCGCGCCCGTCCCCATCTCCCTCAAGCCACGTGACGAAATGGAAAGCGTAAACTTCAAAACTACAAACATCTCTACATTCAACTCTTTGCTTGGCCTTATCTCCCTAAACCCGTAGTTTCCTCACCTTGAAAAAGGAAACAATTTCCGTGAGACAACACTGGGAAGATTACAAACCATTCGGTGAACTCACTCACGTGGGAGAATCAGGTGCACAGTAAGCTCTGGATAAATAGGTTCCGCATTTTCTCTCCGAGCACTTACTTCTTCAGTCTGTGACAGCTCCCAAACAGGGAGTTAAGGAGACACTAGTAACAGCCAGGCTTCACAACAACTAAGTAACGTCTTGGCAGCTCTCCTTCTACACTGTTACATCCCAGCCTGTTTCCTGTGCCCGCAGTGAATGCACCCGGCTCCTTCACGCAGCCTCCTCAGTCTGGCACTACCTTTTCACTTCCTCATTGTCAAATACGTCCCCTCAACCAAGTGCAATATTCCTCATCTGCCACTCTCCTCCAGGAGGCCTCGAGACACTCCACAGATTCCATGGAAAACCTATGACACTCTGTAGATTCTCTTTGGTTTCTGTGCTCACCCATCCTATACTTGTGTTATATTTCCAGAGATCATGTGTATAGCCCTGGAAAATAAAGGAGATGCTGTTCTCCAAACTTTGGCCCAGAAAAGGAGGCCGAGCTCTTACAGAATTGTACTATACCTGGAGCTATGTATCCAGGAGCAGCTGTGGCCCCAACAAAAGCTCCCCTTGTTAAAGTTCCTCTTCCTCTGCCCCGAACAGCTTGGACTGCGGCAGACACAGCTGTGTTCACAATACCCTTGGCCTGTCAAAAATAACACATTGTCATTACTGAGAGAAATAAGAACTATCATCCTATTATCTCTGTAATGTACAACCTCTAGGAGAAACTTGAGCCTGTAGACGAGAGAGTAAGAGTCCTCGATGACCTTAACCCTTCATTCACTCCATCACCTGTGAAATGAACACGACACCTACCTTACAGAGCTGTTCTGGAGAATATGCTGAGCACATAAAAGTGTGCAAATAACTTTATTTTTTAAATCCTCACCCAAGGACATGGTTATTGATTTTAGAGAGGGAGGGTGACAGAGATGTCAGAAATAAACATCGGTTGCCTTTCCTGTGTGCCCTGACTGGGGACCAAACCCACAACCTAGGCATGTGCCCTGACTGGGAATCGAGCCTGCACACTTTCAGTTTATAGGACAAAGCTCCAATCTACTGAGCCACACCTGCCAGGGTGCAAATAACTTCTTTTCACTGGAGGATTACCCAAAAAGTTCATTTTCTACATATAAATTTCAGTATCAAATTATATCCAAAGTCAATTTAGGCCTGACTAAAGTAATTATAGACACTTGATATCCAGGTTCAAAATCCACTACACTCCCTGCCCACAGACAAAAAAATAATGTAACAACAAACCACCTAGAATAGGCTGAGAACATGAATGGGTTTTTTAATAAAAAAACTAAAGACAAAAAGAACAAAGATGTGATGCCAGTTTCTGCTCATAGTTACTAAGACCTCAGGAAGGTCATGTGGTTCCCTTGAGCCTGTTTTTTTCTGGGGTGTGTGTGTATGTATGTGTGTGTATTGATCATAAGTAAATAACAACTCTAAGGTCACTTCCTGCTGTAAAGTGCCACAGATTCTGGTAATGCCCTATCACCTCTCTTGCTAACAGAGCCTCCCCAGGAACGTAGTAACATGACAACGACGCCCGCTGGGCTTTCCTTACTCCAGAGCACAGAGAGCAGCTTAGAAAACACATGTAAAACTCTGAAACACCAACCAAGTCAGTCAAGGAGTAACAGTCACAGGGCTACTCAAACATCCATCCCCAAAACTAAACTTTTAAGAAAGTCAAAGAATATTTATTTTAAAATAACTATTATACTTATTTTTTAATAAAAAGATGTAACACAAACTCAAGCTAGAAACCACTAATATTGCCCACCACAATAAAGAGAGAAGGGAGCCGAGCAGAGAAGCAGTACACACACTGTGTGAGAGCGCACACATTCAGCTCCTGCGGAAATACCATCATCCTCTGCTTCTCCTGGGGTAGCCTTGACTGCGCGTGCGACTGGGCAGAAGACAGTTCGGGGTTGAATGTGTCTTGCACAGAGAACTGCCATTTTTCTTTTGGGCTAAAAAATATCCAACCCACACATCCAAAACAGACCGCTAGCTGGCAGTCAAGCACATTGAGCACAGGAGTCTTATAGCTTCTAGTATGGGAAATTTCTAAAAATGAGTCAACTTCAAGCAGACATTTCCTTTAACACAGCTTAAGTCAAAAAGTAGGCAGCAACAGCCTTACAGTAACAGGGTGACTTCATACAATCAAGCTCATTCCTACTAGAACCAAACCTAACTAACTAACTAACTAACAAGTCTCTGCACATAGGCTTTTCAAACACTAAAAGGACTTACAAATGACAAGATATAACCCACAGGGAAAACACTCCAAAATAAATAAGGTAACAATTATCTTTCTAATAATTTAGAACATATTCTAGCAGACTTAGGAAAAGAAAATCCACTTTTCTCTCTACACATCTTCCTCTGCAATTTAAACACTTCATTTTTATTTCATCTCAGTAAGTTAGTTTTACTTGCATATATTTTGGATCCTAAAATTTAAGCAGTGCTTATTATAGTAAATAAAAGTAGAATACAAAACAAGTTTGTAACATGCATATCATAAGCAATAGTAGAATGCCCATGTATCTGGAAGAAGAACCTGGTTTTAAGGGAACCTGCACCATTAATCAACTATGCTACTACATGCAGTATCTTAATTTCTTGGGGTCTTGTTCCCTCATCAATAAAATGAGATCAATTCTACCCTCCTATAATGGACTCAGCATATGTAAGAGAAATCGTTTAACACAAAATCTTAAATAATCTAAGCTTCCTTCATTTTTAATTGCTTTCTTTCTATTACATAATACCTTCAGACATTATTACACAAGTACTCTCCACGAAGAAGAGAATGTGTCTTTATTTATGTATCTATTTTTTGCTCCCCCCCCCCAATTTACGTATCTTTTATCCTCACAACCATGTACATGGTATACAATATGTCTAGAGGACATTTTTTAATGCATAAAAATGTGGCTAGAAAAATCTGTTACCCCAAAGCACAGAATTTGGAGGTCATCTTTTCCAAATACCTTGCTATAATCAAACATTCAGCAACACTGACATTCCCAATCAAGCAACACAGGGTCGAGTTCTGCTGCACCACCTCCAACAGAAAATCCAAACTGAATAATTCAAAAGTCAAACCAGAAAAGGAAATGGAAGAGCATCTGCAGACTCTGAGGAAAGTGAGCCCAAGTCCTCTTGGCAGGTTCCCTAAAGCAGATGAATGCTAACATCGCATTCAAGTCCAAATCCCTCAACACCCCACCTCATCAAGAGTGACCTGAAGCCCCCAAACAATGCCATCAGTCTCTTTTTATTGTATTGTTTAAACAGAACAACCACAGAACAGGGAACCACTGACACGTTTATATTATTAATGATCTAATCCAAATAAAAAGCCGCTAAATCCAAGAAAAGACATAATTTGAGAAAAAGCTAAGTGGCACAAAATAGAAAAGGAAACAATTCTGGTAGCATTTTCCAAAGGTATTACGAAGGTTTAATGCTCAACTCATACCTGAGGGATAATCTTCTTTTTCTTATTATTTGCTGCATTGGGTCCAGAAAACAGCTTCTCCAGGGCAGCTAATGCTGCACTTGCCTTTGCCACTTTCTTATTTGGACCTGCACCTCTGAATTTCTGTCCATCCACTTCTACCTAAAATCAAGAACAACACTCTGCAGTTATCCCATGCAGTTCCTCTATGCAGTTTAATTCAAATGGATCATAACACAGAAAACACCACAAGTCAAATAGTGCCGCAAGAAGTGAATCAGTCCATTCTGAGCTTACAATTAAGCTCAGGCTGCCCTGTGTCCTTGAGGAGAAAGCAAGGTTGGCTTGTATCCAAGTACACACCTCCATTACAAAGCGTTTGTCATGGCTTCCACCAGTCTCCGAGATGAGTTCATACTTAAGACCTCTTCTTTTCTCATTGAGCTCCATTACAGGATTTTTGCCACTTGCTGTGAGGATAGGGCCCTGAGTTCTGACCTAAAAGAAGGTTCAGTCAAGTAAGATTTCAGAGTATTAAATTTCTTATTAATTTGATTATACTATGCCTCTGTTGGAAAAGAGGCTCAAAAATTGTACTTTAAAGCATTTAGAGGCCAGGATGCATGCTTACCCTCCACATATAAAACATATGGAAATTGCAAGCAGTAGGTACCTGGCCAGGCTGCCTATGAAGCACGCCTGTCCCAAAAGAAGGGCATTGAAGAGCGATGCAGCCTTACCACAGCATGGCAGTCGGGAGTCTGATCTATAGCACTCGTGATCTAAGAATAATCATCTAAACAACTACAGCAAAGTGGATGACACAGCTGAGACTCACATGACACCTGAGCGTTCAGTGTTTTTTCATCAGAATTAGGGAAAAAATAACTCAATTTAGGAAGTGGGAAGAAAATGCCCCTTCACACCTCTCAGTCTCTCTAAAGAGATTTAAGTGAACCTAAAGAAAAAACAGTGGGCTACAGACTATGAATCCTCAAATTTAAAGATAACAGTAAAAGTAGTCATTCCCTGTCCTCAAGGAGCTAGAGTAGAGTGGGAGAGCCAGATAGAGCCACTGCAAAGCAATGTACACATGAGATCAGATGTAAGCTGTAAAAACACGACAGAAGGAATCACTTTGTTGGGCCATCAGGATAGTTTTCCAGGAAGTGACAACACGAACCCACCCATAAAAGGGAAGCGCCACACCATCATAAGGAGGAAACAAAGGAGAAGGGCATTCTGGACAGAATAAACAGGGTGAGGAGAGTAAGGAAGAGCCCAACTGAAAACGCCCTTGACGGAGCCAAATCATAAGTAAAGGACTCTGTACCACACACATGGGCTTTGACTTTATCATGGACAGTGGGGAGCCACTGAAAAGAATTTAATCTGGGCGAGTTCATAATTATATCTGTGTTGTAAAAAATACACTAATAATAACAAAATAAAATGAAATAAAATTACTCTAAGAGTGGTAGAAAAAATGACTTGCAAAAGAGTAAGAGTCAGAGGTAGAAAAGTAATTCATATAAGAATATGAAGGCTCAAACGATTTCCGGCCAGAATGGAGGTGTAGGTAGACACACTGTGCCTCCTTACACAGCCAAAAGAAGGACAATGACAATTTAAAAATAAAAACAACCAGAACTGCCAGAAAATCAAACTATATAGAAGTCTGACAACCAATGTGTTAATAAAGAAACATTCATCCAGACAGGTAGGAGGGGCTGAGATGGGCGGACAGGCAGAGAGAACTAAAGGGGGCGGGGATGTGGGTAGGAGACGGTGTGCAGGGCGGAGGGGAGTGAAGGGGAAAATGGGACAGCTGTAATAGCATAATCAATAAAATATATATTTTTAAAAAGAATATGAAGGCTCAAATGATGAGAGAAGTTAGCCCAAAAATAAAACAAACCATAAAATGCTACAACTATAATTTTGAGAAAGAAAAGACCCCAAAATTGAGTGCTTTTTGAGGTCAGAGATCATGTCTTTAATTCCACCACAGTAACTTCTCAAGAAATGCTGAAAAAATGAATGCCCCCAAAATTATTGTATGTAAACCCAATGGACTGCAAGCCTCTTAATGAGTACTCATGTTGATTTGATAAGTGGGTGATGCTGTAGAAGTAAAACACTGGACTATTTTTATAGGCAAACTTAATAAACATTTCTGGATCTTTTGCAATAAATATCACTTCTTGAAGAGTTTTCATAATCTGTATTTTTAAAATTTCAGGGCAAATTTCCAATCTCCAGTTTTAAAAGATAGTAAGTAATTTGGGGTCTATGGTAATATCTCTCTGCTTTCCAAATCTGAAATCACTTTTATAAAAATAAGTCAAGACATAAAAATATTTGCCTTTCTAATCACTACCACTTTAAATGAAGAGCAGGGCTCTGTCCCCTCCCCATGTCACTACATCACACAGAAACAAAGCACCGATGTACTCACTACCAAAAGCTCCACAAACCCACACTGCTCTCTCTTCTAATTCCCTTCGAAACTTAACTGTCTGGGACTCATAATTAATGAGCTCTTTCTCTTCTTAGTGTCAATATTTCTAACACTGCCAGCAAAAAAACATCCTGCCCTGCCTGTGACTACCACCTGTGAATGACTGGTCCTCTGAAAAACCAGGTACCATGTCTTCTACCCTCCACATCACATGAAGAGCCAGGCATGGTTTTTGCAAGCCTCAGTTCCCACCAGGACCTCCAAACTGGCCCACCTGGCACTTCTAAATATTTCCTTTCACAACTCCTTTACACCGACAATGCCTCTGATCTAGAATGCCTTCTTTCAACCTCTTCCCTAAAAAATCTTATTATCATCTAAAACATAGCTCACATTTTACATGCCTTTGACATGTGTGTAAGTTTCACAGTCACTTCCCCCTTGGAAATTTTACATTAAACTTGTTTTGCAATCAGAGAGCTTATCGAATTCCGGCCAAGATGGAGGCGTATGTGGAAACATTGTGCCAACAAAGTTTTAGTAACAAAAACGCAGCCAAAACCCAGAAAATTGAACTGTACGGAAGTCCGACAACAACTAACCGTTCATCCAGACCAGTAAGAGGGGTGAAGTCAGCGGTGGAGCGGGGTCAGGCAGGAAAGATCAGCCGACTGACCCAGGAGCTCAGGAGAGCAGGCACACAGGCGGAGGTTGGCAAATCCCAGGCGTGGGGTGGCAATGGGCGGACCCAGTGAGGGCGCAAGGTGGCTGACCGCAGTCACACTTTCTCGCGCAGATAAACCAAGCGAAGGAGCGAGCAGTGAGACAGACCACTCAGGCCAGCAACTGGAATTATAGCCTGAAAGCACCAATTGGAAAGACCTTTGGGGTCGAGGTGCTGGGAGAAGCTCCCAGGCTCACAGAGAGTTCATTGGAGAGACCCACAGGGTCCTGGAGGGTACACAAGCCCACACACCCAGGAACCAGCACCAGAAGGGCCCGATTTGCTTGCGGGAAGTGGCAGAGGGAACAGAAATCTGAGAAAGAGCGGAACAAACGCCACTGCCCCTCTCTGACCCCACCCCCACATACAGCATCACAACCAAGCCACTGGGTCGCCCCACCCTGGTGAACACCTAAGGCTCCTCCCTTCATACAACCTGACCAGAACATTATGGCTCAAGCAGAAAAAGAGCCCAAAGCCCCAGAGCCAATAAATCTAAGTGACCAAGAAACAGCTAACTTTTCAGATGCACAGTTCAAAACACTGGTGATCAGGATACTCATAGAATTGGTTGATTTTAGTCACAAATTAGAGGAACATATGAAGGCTAAACTAATTGAAATGAAGGGAAATGCACAGGGAACCAATAGTGATGGAAAGGAAACTGAGACTCAAATCAATGGAGTGGACCAGAAGGAACAAAGAAACATCCAGCCAGAAAACAATGAAGAAACGAGAATTCAAAAAAATGAGGAGAGGCTTAGGGGAACCTCCAGGACAATTTTAGGTGTTCCAACATCCGAATTATAGGGGTACCAGAAGGAGAAGAGGAACACCACGAGTGGAAAACTTATTTTAACAAATAATAAAGGAGAATTTCCCCAATCTGGCAAAGGAAATAGACTTCCAGGAAATCCGGGAAGCTCAGAGAGTCCCAAAGAAGTTGGACCCAAGAAGAAATGCACCGAGGCACATCATAATTACATTACCCAAGATTAAAACAAAGGAGAGAATCCTAGAAGCAGTAAGAGATAAGGGGACAGTCATCTACAAAGGAGTACCCATCAGACTGTCAGCTGATTTCTCAAAAGACACCTTACAGGCAAGAAGGGGCTGGAAATAGGTATTCCAAGTCATGAAATCCAAAGACCTACATCCAAGATTGCTCTATCCAGCAAAGCTTTCATTTAGAATGGGACAGATAAAGTGCTTCTCAGATAAGGTCAAGTTCAAGGAGTTCATCATCACCAAGCCCTTACTATATGAAATGTTAAAGGCACTTATCTAAGAAAAAGAAGATGAAAAATATGAACAGTGAGAGGACAGCAAACTTACAGTTATCAACCACACCTAAAACAAAAGCAAACTAAGAGGACAGCTAGATCAGGAGCGGAAACATAGAAATAGAGGTCACATGGAGGGTCAACAACAAGGGAGTGGGAGGAAGAGAAGGGGGGAGAATGTACAGAGAATAAGTAGCATAGACGGTAGGTAGAAAATAGATGGGGGGCAGGGCAAGAATAGTATGGGAAATATAGAATCTAAACTTGTGACAAATGGACATAAACGAAAGGGGGAAATGGTGGGGGCGGGGAGTGCAGGGTGGAGGGAAATGAAGGGAGGAATAGGACAACTATAATGGCATAATCAATAACATTTAAAAAAATAAAAAAAGAGCTTATCACATTACAGTATAATTAGTTACAAAATGTCTTTTGCCCTTCTAGCCTGGGGGCATCTTGGGGCTCTGGACACACTTTCTTCAGCAACTGACAGTAAATAGGTACTAACAGGGGATTTACAAGCTGAAAAAAATATATAGTCCTTACTAAATACTCATTCTTACAAATGACACATTTTTAAAATGTTAATGTAAGCCCTTGCTGTTACCTGAAAGCCAATTTTCCTTACACAGAATGCCACTAACAAGGGCCACACAAGTTCCCGTTCTGTCGCTGCTCATCGCCCAGACTGTGTCCCATCCCATTGTCTCTGGCAGTGAGCCCCCATGTCAGGACTTCCCCGGCGGATGAGGACCGCGCCAGGTCGAGCTACGCCTTTCACAGAGCCAGCCTGCCTCAGTGAAGACCCACTACCGCCAGCTTGGCACAAACTTTAAACAATCCCAAATTTCCTGCATGAGATCTTTTGGTTTTTTTTCCATCAGTTATCATTAGCATACTCGTTAAATGCAGCAAAAGGGAAATGCTAGTTAAATATGTTATATGTAGTACATAGCACATTAATGGATATTTTTAGAATTGAATGGAAAAAAACTGCAATATAAAAATGACTGCCTTCAGGAAAAAAAAAAACACTTAACAAAGAACAGCCTGGGTGGAAATAAACTAAAATATTAACAATGGCTACCTCTGGAATATATATGTTTGAATATGCTTTTGATTTTATTTACATTTTCCCACATCTCTCAAATTCTCTGCAATGGGTATTATTTTCGAAGGAAAAAGTACATAAGTATACCTCTAAGGTACTGGAGGTTTCAGTTGTAGAATTTCCAGTATTATTGCTTGAGTTTGAAGACACGGTTTCATTTTTGCTTTCATTATCTGATTTTTCATCGGAACTCATACATTCAATATCTGCATCAAAGCCTGTTGGGTATCCCATTGCCTGTAATACCTGTACAAATTACATTAAGATTCAGTTTTATTAAAAAGCCAGAAACCACAGAGAAAAGATGAATTACTGAGAACAACAGTTTCAAATTCACAACACCTGAATCCATGAAACACCTCATAGGAAGAGAGGGATGGTACAAAATCCTTGTTTTTACCTACCAGGGTATCACCACTGAGCAACGATTTTCAACCTCTGTCATCTCCTGACAAACATTAAGTAATTGTTAAAATTCTGCAGCACACCAAGAAATATATATCTTTTGCCAATCTGACAAAAAAGAATAGGTATAATTTTGATTCATTCACAGCAGATGACTATTGTTGTGTTGGCTATTGTCATTTTATTTGACAACCTAAGAGAAAAGAGGTCAGTGCCCCTGACTAAATAGTCAGGAATTTCACATTTTAAAGTTCTGTGGCCACACCAGCTGAAAACTGCTGCCACAGAAAATGGGAAAAGCTCCCTCAGAGTAACTAAGTTTACATAAAGGATGATGGAAATGCAAACCCAAACTTGCTCCTGGTTCATTTAATTTGGAGGTAAAAGGCAGAGAAAGAAAACAGCACAGCCAAGTTCAACCAATGGGGTGAGGGAAAAAGTAAAACAGTACATTGTAAAAAAAAAAAAAGTACCCTGGACTAGAAAGAAAAAGACAGGAGGCTCTAATCCTGTATATCTCCACTGGTTCTCAATTTTCCAATTTACAAGAAAGGACTTCTAGATTCTATGATTCAATCCATTAGGAGAAATTAGCAAAGGAAGTCAATCAAGAAGTTCTCTTTACCCCAGAACAAATCTACTGGTCCATTATAAAATAACATCTGGCCCTGGCTGGTGTAGCTCAGTGGATTGAGCACGGGCCTGCAAACCAGACAATTGCGGTTCGATTCCCAGTCAGGGCACATGCCTGGGTTGCATTGCAGGCTGGTTCCCTGCAGGCCAGTTCCCAGCAGGGGCTGCATGAAAGACAACTGTACATTGATGTTTCTCTCCCTCTCTCCTTCCCTTCCCCACTAAAGATAAATAAATAAAATCTTTAAAAAAATAAAATAAAATAACATCTGAAGCTTTCTACTACGGACCTCTCTGCTTTTCACTGAAAGCGTAATTAAGACCTGGAAGAGAGGATCCAGTCTCCAGGTGTCCTCTCTGGACCAAGGGCCTGGGAACACTCTCAGTTCTGCATCTCCACCCCTGCCTTATAAGGACTTCCATGGCTTCCTCCCGTGGCCATTCTTCTTACAGTTCCACTCAACATCCGGCCTTTTTAAAATAAGCCTTTTTTACCCATTGAGTATGATATTGGCTGGTACAACCATTATGGAAAACAGTATGGAATTTTCTCAGAAAAATAAAAATCCACCTGCCTTTTGACCCAGCAATTCCACTGCTAGGATTATATCCCAAGAATCCTAAAACATCAATTTCAAAGAACCTATGCACCACAATGTTCATAGCAGCACAATTTACAATAGCCAAGAGTTGGAAGCAACCTAGGTGCCCGTCAGTAAATGAATGGATCAAAAATTTGTGGTACATATACACAATGGAATTCTATGCAGCAGAGAGAAAGAAGGAGCTACTACTACCCTTTGCAACAACATGGATGGAACTGGAAAGCATTATGCTGAGTGAAATAGGCCAGGCATTGAAGGACAAATACCATATGATCTCACCTTTAACAGGAAGCTAAATAACAAAATAAACAAGCAAATAGAATAAAAACAAAGACACTAAAATAGAGAACAAGTGGGCAGTGACCAGAGGGGAGAGGGAAGGGAATTTAAGGGGAAAAACGAGGAGGGATTTTGAAGAACAAGTATGAAAGACACAGGGATGAGGTCTGTGGGGAGGGGGGGGATGGGAGGGAGGTGGGGAGACGGGGCGGAGGGGGGGTTGGGATGGGAGAAATTGACAAAAGAAAACTGTACTTGAAAAATAACTCAATAAATTTAAAAAATAAAAAATAAATAAAATAATAATAAGCCTTTTTTTAAAATAAGGTTTTCAGAAATGTTTGTGTATTTACACACAAACAAGAGAATTTGTCCACTGGCATTTTTACAAGTCTCTTTTAAATAGGTTGGTACTGGATTGTCAGTTCCTAATTTAAAGGTTCATATCAGAAATGTAAAGATAGGTTCCTAAAGATTCCTGTATTTGTTTTAGTTTTCAACTGTGTTAAGTTGCTGGAATGTAAAAGAACATCATATTTCTTTACAGTCGCAGCTATACCTAACAGGGGTCTCTCAGAAAACGACTCTGAATACTGACATGGGGGTGTCCAATCTGTGGCCAGTGAATCAAATGAGGCCCAGCATGGCTGGGAATGCGGCCCAACACAAAATTGTAAATTAATTCAAAACCTTACGAGATTTTTTTGTGATTGCACATCACAATGTATTTAATGTGTGGCCCAAGACAACAACTCTTCTTCCAGTGTGGCCCAGAGATACCAGAAAGCTGGACACCCCCGGTAGAGAATGCCAGGGATGGGGACTTGGGGAGGAGATTCTCTACAAAGGGACATGAGACAACTTTTTGGGTGAGAGAAATATTTTATATCTTGACTGAGTTGGTGCTTCCATGATTATAATTGTACAAAAACCATTTACCAGTTATATGCGTAAGTTATACCTTAAATGAAGTTGGTTTTTAAAAGACCAAAAAAAAACCCAACAACCTATTTTGATAATCACACAAATGACTAGCCAGGCAGGCTAGCCTTTATAAACAATGTCATCTTATATAAATAAAATAGTACTACTCTAAACAAAAAAAATGAGCACAAGTACTAAGAGTACTTGAAATTAATTCATATGGAAAATGTGGCATTCTGTTGAACACTTTGAATCATAAATAAATTGCTTGTATTAAATGAGAATAAAGTCGACTTCTAAAAGTAGTCAGGTAATACATCATTTGGTTTTACCCTTATTAGTGTTTTATAAAGAAAACACCTCCTCCAGTGAGTACTGCAAATATGCTCTTTCTGTGAAACCTCATCTCTGGAAGAATACTTACTAGTCTAACACTAGCTAACAAGCTGAGGTCAAAAGCCGAGTCATAGGTAAATGTGATTTGTTAATTCCCAATTTAACACAGTTACAAAAATTACATAACACCACACTTCTGTCTACCCTGTTCTCACATATCAACTTTCAAAAACATATGTTGGATAGGAAACTCAAATTCACACAAAACCTGTAGTGTGGTATTTACTTGTGACTGTAGTAACTTATCTCAATACATTTATAAATAACTTATATATGAAAGGGGACCCCCAAAACTGCAATTATCTTCCAGAGTGGGGGCCCCTTGTAGTACAGGCTTCCCCTGCTAGGTGAGTGTTCTAGGACCCATTTGTATCAGCGTGCCAGCTGGTGCTGTTCTGAGAGGCTGCGTTCAGGTTCAGTGAACTTTTCTGGACACTCCTTCAACACACTGCCCATTTCACAATGGATGATTTAGGGGTACACCTGCCCACACTGCACTGAGTGTTCAGCAGTTTTTGAATAAACATGGCATGACCTTCATGCCCCACCCTCCCTAATTCTATCTCATCCCAAGAGACTTTTGTTTCCCACATATGAAAAAAGTCCTCAAAGGGAAACATTTTGCCGATATGGAAGAGGTGAAACAAAAAATGGCAGAAGCACTAAAAGACGTCAAAATCAACTAGCTCAAAAACTGCTTTGAGCAGTGGAAAAAGTCTCGATAAGTGTATTGCATCAGATGGAGAAGACTTTGAAGGTGCCTGGAGTTTAAATATGTAAGACTAAACACACAATTTTTTATAAGTAATTCCAGGGTTGTTTTGGCAGTTCCCCCTCATAACTGATAGATAATCTCAAGGGATACAGTATACTTGTAATGCAGCTCAACTGACAAAAATTTCAAATTCAGTCATTTAAAAAATATATATATATTTCATTGGTTTTGCTATTACAGTTGTCCCATTCCCCCCCCTCACTTCCCTCCACCCTGCACACCCCCTCCCACCCACATACCCTCATTTTAGTTCATGTCCATGGGTCATACATGTAAGTTCTTTGGCTTCTACATTTCCTATACTCTTACCCTCCTCCCTATTTTCTACATACCATTTATGCTACTTATTCTCTGTACCTTTTCCCCCTCTCTCCTCTTCCCACTCTGCTGTTGATAACCCTCCATGGGACCTCCATTTCTGTAGTTCTGTTCCTGTTCTAGTTGTTTGCTCAGTTTGCTTTTGTTTTCATTTTAGGTGTACTTAATGATTGTGAGTTTGCTGTCATTTTACTGTTTATATTTTTATCCTCTTTTTCTTAGATAAATAAATCCCTTTAACATTTCATATAATAAAGGCTTGGTGATGATGAACTCCTTGAATTTGACCTTATCTGAGAAGCACTTTATCCGCCCTTCCATTCTACATGAGAGCTTTGGTGGATAGAGCAATCCTGGATGTAGGTCCTTGAATTTCATGACTTGGAATACTTCTTTCCAGCCCCTTCTTGCCTGTAAGGTGTCTTTTGAGAAATCAGCTGACAGTCTGATGGGAACTCCTTTGTAGGTGACTATCCCCTTATATTTTGCTGCTTCTAGACTTCTCTCCTTCATCTTAATCTTGGGTAATGTAACTATGATGTGCTTGGTGTGTTCCTTCTTGGGTCCAACTTCTTTGGTACTCTCTGAGCTTCCTGGACTTCCTGGAAGTCTATTTCCTTTGCCAGATTGGGGAAGTTCTCCTTTATTATTTGTTCAAATAACTTTTCCACTTGTTGCTCTTCCTCTTCTCCTTCTGGTACCCCTATAATTCGGATGTTCGAACAACATCCAAATTATTAAAATTGTCCTGGAGGTTCCCCTAAGCCTCTCCTCATTTTTTTGAATTCTCGTTTCTTCATTGTTTTCTGGTTGGATGTTTCTTTGTTCCTTCTGGTCCACTCCATTGAATTGAATTCCAGTTTCCTTTCCATCACTATTGGTTCCCTGTGCATTTCCCTTCATTTCAATTAGCATAGCCTTCATTTTTTCATCTAATTTGCAACCAAATTCAACCAATTCTGTGAGCATCCTGATTACCAGTGTTTTGAACTTTTCTTCACTATTTGTATTTTTCTGGAGCTTTGATCTGTTCTTTCATCTGGGTCTTTTTTTTTTTTTTGGGGGGGGGGGTCTTGAGATGCCTGTTATGTAGTGAGGGGTGGAGCCTTAGATGTTCACCAGGGTGGGTCAACCCATATCACCGGTTTGTACCACTGTATGTGGGGAAGGGATCCGAGAGGGAACAATGCCACTTACTCAGCTCTCTGCCGGATTTCAGTCACTTCCCCTGCTTCCCACAAGCAAAATGGGCCTTTCTGGTGCTGGTTCCTGTGTGGGTGGGCTAGTGTACGTTCACGGGCCCTGTGGGTCTCTCCAATGAACTCTCCTGTGAGGCTGGGAGTTTATCCCACTGCCACCTCAACCCCCACAGTTGTTTTCAATCAGTGGTTTGAGACTTTATTTCCCTGCTCTGGGGCCCTGGGTTGCGCACTCTGTTCTGTTCCCGAGATGTCCCTCCTGGCTTATCTGTGAAAGAATGTGGGACTGCCCAGTCTGCAATCCGCCTCTGCCTCACTGGGTCTGCCTGCTGCTGCCTCGTGTGCCCCGCTCCACAATCTGCTGCCTCACTGGATCCACCAGCCACTGCCTTCCCCAGAGTCCTCTCTGCCCGGCTGCGTCTCCGCCCCTCCTACCTAGTCTGGATGAATGTGTCTTCTTTAACTCCTTGGTTGCTGGACTTCCATACTATTCAATTTTCTGTCAGTTTTGGTTTTTTGGTTTTAAATTATTGTTGTCCTTCTTTTGGTTGTGTGAGGAGGCACAGTGTGTCTACCTATGCCTGCATCTTGGCCAGAAGTCCCAGTCATTTTCTATGAACACATTCTAAGATTATTAACTACTATATGCTATAAAAGTAAAAGTGTTTAAAAAGTAAAAAGTTTTCAGACCTGTGGAACCAAAGTTTGTTTGGAATGAAAATTAAGACCAAAAACCTGCTATACCAAAGAAAAGTCAGTTTCAATGTCTAGCAAACAAATCCACAGGGGACTGAGACTGAGAAAGATGACCCTCTCAAAGAATAGGGTCCAAGAGTGAAAACACCTAAGAACGCATTCTAACCCATGGCTCTCCATCAAAACATAGTCATATTCATGACTTCTGTCTAACAGACATTCAATGGCTTCCAAGAACCTCTCCAAGGAGCCTTCTCTCCTTGTCCTCTTCTAACTGATCTTTTCCCCACAATTAATAAAATTCATTTCATGAAATATGGTTGATTTTTGTCCCTAAAGGTGCTCTTTATGAGGGGCTCTAAGGAAAAAGAATTGGAAGAGGAAAGGGAAGACTGGCTACTTTACATTGCTTTTTGCTGAACAGCCAAGCTCTTATGGCAGAAACCGATCTCTTCTCATTTTGTTTTGATTCTATGGTGTGATTTGTCTTAACAAATACAGACACCTGCCAAACAACTGAGTAAGGAATGCAGGGATTTTTATCAACTGGGACCTACTTTAAAAAAAAACATATGTTGGATATAAAACTCTCTGAAACTCATACAGAACCTATAATGTGGTAGAACCTTATAGATGGCAATTTGGAAATATATGCCTGAGATTAATAGAAGTCCTACTATATGTTTAATGAATTAGTAGATTATTCAAATGGGCTTTCTTCTTGACCTAGTAATTCTATCTCTAGAATATTTAAGGGATAATCGGACCAATTCAAAAGAATGTAAAGCAATCAACTGGAAGCATCTAAATCTGAAAGGATTAGTGATATTGTGATAGAAGGATAATAATGATATATTAGGCCATTAGTAAAAAGAACAATTTTTGTGATAACTATAAAAAGCTCAATAATTTTTAGATGAACATAGAAAACATAACCCTATTTTAAGTATATATTTTGTAGGTCCCATCATTCTATACCTGCAACCCTGGGGGCCAGAATGTTTTGAGAATAACTTTTTAACATTTAGAAAGCTACTACAATGTATTTACCACACATTTTCAGAATCTCCAGTGGTGTCTCAGGTGCTACCCCATGTTTGGGCAAAGAAATATATAAAATATCCACAGTACACAGAATACTAAAGACTAAAAATAGCTATATATCAACATCGACAGTTCAGGTTTTCCCATCTAGTAGTGAGTTTGCATGAAACTTAGGAAAGTATTTTTCATTTTCAGAACTTTTGGATTTTGAAATTTCAGGTTTAAAGTGGGGGGGGGGCGTATATACCAAAATGTTAATGCTTGTTATGAAAACAAATAGCATCCAAATCTTGTCACATTGCAAAATTTGCCACTCTACTAACCTGCCCAAACTTTACTGCATTGCAACTTGCTATGAAGCCACTAGCTTATATTAAAGACTATTACAAAAACCTAACAAGCTCTGTATCACAGGCACCTTTAAAAGCCATCACTGCTATCCCTTTTTAATGAAGACCTCCCCAAGGAGAATGCCCACCTGATCTTCATACCAAAACAACTGTGACTCCCAATCAACTGTCCATTATGCCATGGACAGCAGGTTCGTATCTCACACACTTTTTGTATGAAATGATAGAGAACTTAGGTCTGTATCTGTGACTCAGCCTCAGCATACATTACAGCTAAATTATCAAACTGTAATTTTAGCCTTATTCCCAGATTCACTTTTTCCCCTCATTCTTGGTTTTCTTCTTCTGCTTCATAAATTCATACTATTTCATCATACCTGAAATAGCCCTTGTATAAACAAGACAGAACATTAATAATATACTGGTTTATATTTTTAAGCTTTGTTATTATTTTTCTGCATTGTTCTTATTATTATCTGACATGTAATTTATGCATTTATGTTTATATATTTTTTGTCTGTCTCCCCATCCTATCACCCTGGAATCCAAGCTCCAGGAGGGCAAAGACTTTGCTCACTGCTGTATCTTAAGATTCTAGAATAATGTTTGCAACTGCACTAATAATATTTGCAAGATGGAATGATCATGAAAACAGACCAATTATATTTCATGCCGCACTTTACATAACAGAATTTTTCTTACGTGAAAATTGATCTTCATACTACATGATTTTTGATATTTTCACATTTGTCAGCAAAAGGTCAAAGGTATCTTAGAGAGATTCTACTACTTAGAAATTGTCTACAAACCTACCAGAACGACTAAACGGTTTGGTCCTGGACCCTACTCCCTATGGAAATACTCTGAAATATAGAAAAGGCACCATGCACAAAGACGAGGATTGAATTTACTTATGACAGAAAAAATCTGCAAACAGCAAAATATGCAATGATAGGGAAATGTTTAAACATAACAGTACATCCATACCATGTTACTCATACAGCTATAATACTATTTATGAAGCTTTTAATACATAAACACTCATGACATGTTAAATGAAGAACAGTAGAGGAATTACATATACTCTATAAGCTCAACTTAAAAAACATAACAAAAAACCCAACATATATACAAGTACTAATCATCCGCCTCAGATATATGCAGCTGACATCTTTATTTCTTTACATCTGTGTTTTCCAAATTTTGTATAATCAACATATATTTTACAACCAAAAACTTTTGTGGCCCAGAGACAACAAAACTACATTATTAAAGTCTTTAAGAATTCTGTTGATTTACAGTAGGAAAATAAGCTCCTTATTTATAACAAAACCACAAAGCACTGGTAGGTAAAAGACATACAGTACCTTCACTGCTACGTGAAGTTTTGCTGTTTTCTTGGATGGTCCTGAGGCTTCGTATGTTGTACCATCCACATCTACAGACATTGTAAAGACAGGAGCATGGACGGGGCCAGACTGAGATAAGAGCTTATACTGAAGCCCTGGCCTGATCTGATTCAGCCTCATTAGTGCATTCATAAGGTCTATTGCTTTACTATCCAGAACTGTTAAAGAAAGAAAAGATCAGAAATTAAAACATTTTGCTTTAATCTATGCATTTGTAGATTTCTAGTGATCACTATAAATTCATCAAAGTTTTTAAAAGCAGGAATTTAAAAACACCTATACAAATTAACTTCACTTCATAAATAATTCTAAAATCACTTTTTAAATTATGATGCTAACATCACTGTAAAAGTAATATGCATTATTAAGACTATACATTAATTTTAGTTTGCCAATATTAACATATCCTAAGCCAGCGATTCTCAACCGGTGTGCCGAAGAATTTTTAAAACCTGCAACACCTGACTATTTAGCCAGGAGCACTAACGTGTTTCCCTTAGATGGTCAACTTAAAAAAAACTGGCAATAGCCAACACAGCGATAGCTGTCCAGTGTGAAAGAATCAAATTATACCTACTTTTTGTCAGATCAGCAAAAAAAATATTCTTTTGTTATGTTGCAAAATTTTATTAATTAGTTTATATGTGCCATGAGATAAAAAAGGCTGAAAATCACTGTCCTAAGCAATGAAGCCTGGAAATAAGTTATTCAAACACCAATTTCTCAGTTAAGACCTATTCTAACTACCTCGATTCAAATCAAATTCTTCACTCTGTAATTTTTATTTTCCTGAGACTATAAATGTTTTCTAGTTAACATCTATAAGAATAAAGATTTTATATACTTTTCCTTAAATTTCGTTTCATCTTCTTATTTGAATCTTTATCATCTCCTAATCCATCTTCAAATGGCCTCTTCAGAGCTGAAGACCCAGCACCTAAAGAATTACAAGAGACTCGTTATTAGTCAAAACAATGATTTTACTTCCTCTACCAAATGTACCCACTATGTTCAAGAAGGGAAACCCTAAGAATCAAAAGGAACATAGTACTCTTCACTGAACAATTAAATTACCATATTTATAATCTTGTAATAGTAAAAACTTTTGAAGTGAATCTTTATGAAACAACTTAATATTACTCGTTTTGGTAAGTATTTATTTCTCCCATTCATTCACACAGCAAATACAAGTACCTATGCACATCTGTATATACATGAACAGAAAAAAGTCTGGAAAGATCAAAATGTTAAAGGTAGGAATCTCTGGTACTAGGATTTATTTTTACTTATGTCTTTTCAAATATTGCTGTAATTTAACATTTGCTGCTTGCATAAATTTTTAAAGTTCACATGTTCACCTTAGGCTTTTTGAAATCTGATTATTTTTCACACTACAAAATATTCTTCTGTCTGCCCATTCAAATCCTATTTAAATTTTTATTTACAGTTCATCTTTTCCATGAAGTTTTCTTCAACTTCTCTCTAGTCTCAGCTTTCTAAAACAGTTTCTATAGTATCAGAAATATAAAGTAACCTATGTGGTAGTATGTCATTGACAATTTCATAGTCTTGTGCTTCCTCAGCACTCTATGAAGGTCAAAAATATTTTGTCCCTGTCTTTTATCTTGAAAACTAATACAAGACTTAAACAGCATTAAAATCAAAAGAGAACCAACCATATGGGAAAACATGTTTACAGATGATACCTCATACAAGGTTTTGATCTCTAAAAATATGTAAAGAACTCACATGATTCCACTCCAGGAAGACAACCCAATTTAAAAATGGGCAAAGGACTTGAATAGACACTTCTCCAAGGAGGACATACAGAGAGGGCCCAGAGACATATGAAAGGATGCTCAGCATCACTAGCTATCAGAGAGATGCAAATTAAAACCACAATGAGCCCTGGCTGGTGTAGCTCAGTGCATTGAGTGCGGGCCTGCGAACTAGAGGATCACAGTTCGATTCCCAGTCAGGGCACATGCCTGGGTTGCAGGCCAGTCCCCAGCAAGGGACCCATGAGACACAACCATACATTGATATTTCTCTCCCTCTCTCCTTCCCTTCCCCTCTAAAGATAAATAAGTCTTAAAAAAAAAAAAAAAAAAAACCCAAACCCCACAATGAGGGAGCACTTCACACCAGTCAGAATGGCCATCATGAATAAATCAACAAACAAGTGTTGGAAAGGTTGTAGAGAAAAGGGAACCCTAGTACACTGTTGGTGGAAATGCAGACTGGTACAGCCACTGTGGAAAATGGTATGGGATTTCCTCAGAAAACTAAAAATGGAACTGCCTTTTGATCCAGCAATACCACTGATGGGATTACATCCTAAGGATCCTGAAACATCAATTCAAAAGAACCTATGCACCCCAATGATCACAGCAGCACAATTCACAATAGCCAAGTGCTGGAAGCAACCTAAGTGCTCATCAGTAAATGTGTGGCTCAAAAAACTACGGTACATTTACACAATAGAATACTACACAGCAGAAAGGAGAAGCTTCTACCCTTTCTGACAGCATGGATGGAGCCGGAGAGCATTGTGCTAAGTGAAACAAGCCAAGCGGTGAAAGACAGATACCGTATGATCTCATCTATAAATGGAACCTAATCAACAATACAAGCAAGCAAGCAAAATACAACCGGAGACATTGAAATAAAGAACAATCTAACAGTAATTAGAGAGGAGGAAGGAGAAGGATAATAGGGGATAATAAGGGATAATGAGGGGTAATGGGGGAGGGGGAGGCCATCAGGCAACATATATGAAGGCCATATGGACAAAGCCAAACGGAGTGGGTTCGAGAGTGGCAGGCACAGACGATGGGGTAGGAGGGTGTGGTGGGGTGAAAATAGAGACAAATGTTCTCGAACAATAAAAAAAATAAAGATATTTTAATTAAACAAAAAAAAAACCTAATAGAAGACTTAGAAACAACATAATGGGTCTGAATCAAAACTAACTGATATTATGCAATTTCTTGAGTAAAGCAGGTAGTTCATATTGCTGTCAGGCATAAGACTTTGCTGTCCAAGTTAAAGTCAATCAGAGAAAAGCTCATGAACCTGTCCAAGTATTTTAAAGAACTCTGTGCCTTCAACTTAAAAACTGGTTGTTGGGTTTTTCCTAAGTTATGTTCAAGAGATTCATGCCACAAGACTTCCAGATACTCCTAATGAAACCCTGTAATAATACCAACAATAACTACATATTCTCTGATCATCAAGATTTATTGTCCCTTGGAGTAAACATTTAACTTCAGCACTTGCTTGAGACAATGCTTACCACTCAGGTCAATAAATCTTGATGTTCTCTTCTACAGAAGGCACTATCTGTTTATATCTGCTTAGTACTGAATTTCACTCACAATACATAAAACTGCGTGTGCCAGTCTCCCTGAATGCCATCTTTAAGAGATACAAGTTCAAAGGGAACAAAGTATACTCAGTCATTCAACCACCCATTAAGTTACAATAAAAGCTGCTCCCTGATTGTGTGGAAATCACAAACTGGCTTAAAGGCACAGATCTATTCTCTAAATCCTCCAGCAACAGAGTTCATGGATTAAGCTTCAGTCTCCCACTCAGCCATTGTAAAACAGCTGCAAAATCTGGGGGAGGGGAATGAGAAGTAATCATTTGAGAGGAAGCAATTTTTAAAAATAATGTGTGCTTACCATATTCCTGGCACTGTTCTTAACACCTTACATGTATTAACTTATTTAATCATCACCCTTTGAAGCCTGTACTTTTATCATCCTCATTATAATATCATTCATGTATTCATTCAGCAACAAAAATATTAACTGAGCATTTTCTATGTGCAGGATAATTTTAGATGCTGGACAGAGAGAACATCAATGTTTCAAAGAGCTTATACAAGGTGGCTGGAAACTATTACATGTCCTATGGTTTTGAATACAATGAAGAAAAATAAGAGTCTTCAGGGGAAGGAGGTATTGCTATTTTATTTTTAGTGTTCATCAGAAAAATCAAAAAGGTATTGCTTATCAGGTGACCTTTTGATGAAGGCTTCAGAGAAAATAAGATCGAACTATTCACTGAGGAATGAGCCCCAGGCAAAGAAAACAGCAAAGTACAAGGGTCATAGATAGGAACTAGCTGGGAAACAGCACAGAGGCCTGTGTGACTGGTGTGACAGGACCCAGGAGGGGATGGTAGCAAAAGAGGAGGAAAGGCAGTAGTTCTGAACTCCAGCTGCCACTGATTCACTAGAGAAACTTACAAAATATCGAAGTTCCATTTCCAGTATGACAAAATAAGTACACTGAAAAAGCCTTCCTGACATGAGTAATTAGCAAAACAGAATAAATATACAGTCCTGGAAAAGAAAGACTGGGAGTTAAGGTCTGGGAGATGAAAGAAACCCTGCTTTGGAGGTGACATTTCCTCTAGGGGCAGCTTCCAATTCCAGAAACATCAGTAAGAAATGAATGGAGTACTTTTTAACAGGCACCAAGGTTTCACTCAGGGGGCCAAAAACTGAAGTTTGAGCACCACCAAAGAGGGGAGGCCTGCTGAATCTGCTGCACTGTGGTTGGGCGTCCGCAATGCCATACAACAGAAGTAAGATGAAGTAAGAATACACAGTCTGGATCTCATAAGGTCACCAGCTTCAGGTCACTTAATCGCTGATTGCATTATAATGACCCAGGATTGCCAATTCCACTAGCCAGCTCCCAGAAACAAATATAAATCTGCCCTAAAAAAGACATTACTACTTGAAGCTTTAAATTCTCTATAACTTTGCATTTTAAGTCTCTAATATTCATAATAAGCAGATATATAAGAAGGCAAAACTTGACAAAACATTACACCAAAGAAAAATTGCTGGCCAACCTCACACACAAATATGTGTTTTTGTGAATTGCTTATAAAAGCCTAAGCAAGGTTGTTCATGCCAGCTTTATTTGAGAGACCCAAAAACTAGAAATAAACAAAATTCCCTACAATACATGCATGGTTAAACAAACTCTGGCTCATCTATGCCCTGGAACACCACTCAGCATAAAAAAGAACCAACTACTGACCCATGCAACAATGTGGATGGGTCACAAGGGCACTACTCAGGGGGACAGGAGGGAGGATCTCAAAAGATCACACACTGTGTAACTCCTCGAAATGACAAAAGTCTATAAAGAGAGAAAAATCAGTGGTTTCCAGAGCTTAGGGGTGGTTAAGAGGAGAGAAGAGGGTACGACCATAAAGGGGCAGCATGCGGAAGATCTGACTGGTAACGGAATAGTCCGTTTGCGATGGTGGTTACACAAACTACATGTGTAATAAATGACACGAAACACACACACGGTACCAATGTCAACTTCTTGCTTTTGATATTGTACAACAACATAAGATATAACTATCAGGAGAAAATGACTGAAGGGTGCATGGGAACTCTCTTTACTAATTAGACAACTTCCTGTAAGTCTGTATTTTAAGATAAAAAATTAAGAAATAAGAAAAGAACTGCTGCTTGTTGAGAACAGACAACCAGGGCAAAGTCAGAAGTAGAAAGACCAGATAGAGAAGTTACTACAACAATCCAGGTGAGAGATGATGGCAGCTTAGGCCAGGGTGTCCGCAGTGAAGAAGTTCAAAGAAACAGCTAAATTCTGGATATACTTTGAAAGTAAAACAGGATTTTTTGATAATTTGGATATGGAGGAAGGAGAGAGAGAATTCAAGGGTCAGAGTTTTTGCCTGAGTACACAGGAGGATGGAACTTCCAATGCCTGGCATAGTGATAACCATGGAAAGAGTATATCAGAGGATAGAAATTTGGATTTTAGACATCTTAAGTTTGAGATGGCTGTTAGACATCCATGTGGGGAACTGAGGAGGCATTTGGATAACTTGGTCTGAGGTCAAGGGCTGGTAGTCTGGAGTGGAAATATAAATTTGGGAATC